TTAGAGTGACAGTTAGGTTAGGTCAGAAATCTTGTATCAGGAGAATATAATGTGCGAGGAGATTGAAGGTTAGAATAAAATATTAGGGAGGTTAGGTTAGAGTGACAGTTAGGTTAGGTCAGAAATCTTGTATCAGGAGAATATAATGTGCGAGGAGATTGAAGGTTAGAATAAAATATTGGTGAAGTTAGGTTAGAGTGACAGTTAGGTTAGGTCAGAAATCTTGTATCAGGAGAATATAATGTGCGAGGAGATTGTAGGTTAGAATAAAATATTAGTGAGGTTAGGTTAGAGTGACAGTTAGGTTAGGTCAGAAATCTTGTATCAGGAGAATATAATGTGCGAGGAGGTTGAAGGTTGAATAAAATATTAGTGAAGTTAGGTTAGAGTGACAGTTAGGTTAGGTCAGAAATCTTGTATCAGGAGAATATAATGTGCGAGGAGATTGAAGGTTAGAATAAAATATTAGTGAGGTTAGCTTAGAGTGACAGTTAGGTTAGGTCAGAAATCTTGTATCAGGAGAATATAATGTGCGAGGAGATTGAATGTTAGAATAAAATATTAGTGAGGTTAGCTTAGAGTGTAGTTAGGTTAGGTCAGAAATCTTGTATCAGGAGAATATAATGTGCGAGGAGATTGAAGGTTAGAATAAAATATTAGTGAGGTTAGGTTAGAGTGACAGTTAGGTTAGGTCAGAAATCTTGTATCAGGAGAATATAATGTGCGAGGAGGTTGAGGGTTAGAATAAAATATTAGTGAAGTTAGGTTAGAGTGACAGTTAGGTTAGGTCAGAAATCTTGTATCAGGAGAATATAATGTGCGAGGAGGTTGAAGGTTAGAATAAAATATTAGTGAGGTTAGGTTAGAGTGACAGTTAGGTTAGGTCAGAAATCTTGTATCAGGAGAATATAATGTGCGAGGAGATTGAAGGTTAGAATAAAATATTAGTGAGGTTAGGTTAGTTAGGTTAGGTTAGGTCAGAAATCTTGTATCAGGAGAATATAATGTGCGAGGAGATTGAAGGTTAGAATAAAATATTAGTGAGGTTAGGTTAGAGTGACAGTTAGGTTAGGTCAGAAATCTTGTATCAGGAGAATATAATGTGCGAGGAGGTTGAAGGTTAGAATAAAATATTAGTGAGGTTAGGTTAGAGTGACAGTTAGGTTAGGTCAGAAATCTTGTATCAGGAGAATATAATGTGCGAGGAGATTGAAGGTGAGGATAAAATATTAGTAAGGTTAGGTTAGAGTGATAGTTAGGTTAGATCAAATTGGTTTAGGCGTCTAAAATTTTGACCTAACCTAACTATAACTTTAACCTAACCTCACTAAAATTTTATCCTAACCTGCTATCTCCTCGCACGTTATATTCTCCTGATACAAGATTTCTTACACTATCATTCTAACCTAACCTCACTAAAACTTTAAACTACATTTCAATCACCTCTTCATACATTATATTTCCCTGATACAAGATTTTTCACCCAGTAGTTTTTAGAGCTGGGTCGAGCGTTCTAAAAAACCGCTTGAGTGACGAGCGCTCTAATATGCTCAAAAATGCTCGCGAGCATCGAGTTGTTTTGCAAAGCGAAACCACTTGTGAGTTCCGAGCACTCCTAAAAGTGCTCGAGCGGTTTATCGCGAGCGCTCGGAAAAAGTGCTCGTGGATGGAAAAAACGCTCAAGAGCGGAAAGAGCGCTCGATACAAGTTTTGTAAAAGTTTAAGACGAAGTAAGACGTTGCAATATTTCTGTGAGAGCTGGGTGTCCTTTAAAAAGGCGATGGACGAGCACGGTACGGCCTCGGTGAACCATTTGAGGAGCCTCCCATTGACCCCTTGCTTTGAAATTACTTCGTGGCGTGTGTCTGTCTGTGCGCCAACTCCATTCTCAGCGTCCATCTACGCCGTTCCCACCTCTCACACTCAAATACTGCGTGTCCTGGAGTGTCTGTGTGCCCGAGGTCCGCACAGGTGTCGTCCCGTCGCCTTTTGAATCTGTAGGTACCTACCACCAATTTTGTTTTGAAAGAGAGCTGAAAAGTTTTTGCCACTTGTATCCTTACAAACTACTGGATGACAAAAAGTCATTACTAGGCGGCGCTAGTGTCGCCTACTTTATAGCTTAAGATATGTAGTACACAGATATTAAGTTTAAGCGCATTTTAGGCCTACCGAGGATACCACGAGAAAAATCGCGCATTTTAAATCTCTGCCTCTGGGGTTGCATTAAAACTCGAGTCTGGTATATAAACGCTTTACCACGCCCCTAAATTGATTCGATTCAGACTTTCAGAGAATTTTAAATCTACTAGAAAACATAATCGAAGCTCAATTTCATAAATAATTAAATTAATTCAATTGAGGCCTGGTTTTTCCACCCGATCGATCTGTCTGTCTGTCGATTTGTCGATCTGCCTGTCTATTTGTCTGTCTGTCTGTCTGTCTGTCTGTCTGTCTGTACTAGCATTTCCGGCTAAACGGCTAAACCGATTGGAACCAAATTTGGTACACGTATTTCATAAACATAAAAGGGCCGAATCGTTTATGAGCAGGTGTTCGGGTGGTATCTGTGCTAGGGACAGCAAATTTTTTCATAATGTACCTACGTAAATCTTCGCAAGAAAAAAAAAGTTCCCAGCGTCACCGCGTGTTGTTTAGTAGCGCTATAGCCTCAAATATGAATTATCTCCATATTTTGAGATAACGGTATGAAAAATTTAAATATTGGGTAATCTTAATGACGCAGGATCAATTTTTCGCAGTAGATTTTGCAAATATTTTCAGAGAACAGCGCGAATTTATTCGTCAATTGCGGCATAGGCCCTTACCCTTGCCATTTTTATTTGACATTGACTTTGTTAACCTTTAATAAATCTGCAGATTGTGACTGAGATTTGATAGATTACCTAATGCGTAAATTGTTAATCGCAGCCCAAATTTATTTATAAAGAAAAGGATGGCGCAAAGTTAAACGTTGCGTTATCATTTCGTTATATTTTAATTAAACCTTCTCCTATCGTTAATTAAAACGCTGCTCGCTATTAATATATGGACGGATTCCGTCAATATTTTTAACGCGATCACTTTCTTTCAAGAACTCAGTTGTGAATTAGATAGTGAAGCCGTAAGACAAACGCGTGGAAATATGAGCTGTCCGGTCAAATATACGTAAGTGCGAATTTTTGCTCTAGGTAAATTTTGCACATGCTTTTGCAGGGATGCGCAAGATGGTGAACATCTAGGCGAAGAATCGGGAATGTTGTACAGTGAATATTTAATGTTGGAGAAAATAATAAAAGCCCAGCGGATGGTCAGCGTGGAAGAGAACAAACCCGTGCACGATGAGCATTTGTTCATTGTAACGCATCAGGGTGAGTCTCCCCCTTTTTTTTTTAAATTTTCCTAGCTGAGGAGGAACAAATTTCAGCGTACGAACTATGGTTCAAGCAAATCATTTTTGAACTCGACTCGATACGGGGGCTTTTCAGTACGGAACTGGAGGAATCGCAGACTCTCGAAATATTGAAAAGATTAAACCGAATAGTGCTCATTTTGAAAGTAAGTACATTTTTCGATTTTATACACTGAGCAAAATCGTAACCGGCGTTCATTCGTGCGAATCTGAAATCGAAACCGTAGGAATGCGCCTTTTCCCAATATCGATTCCTTCACTCTTGGGAAATTCGATCGTATTACAACCAGTTATCTCGAGTTAAGCAAATTAAAAATAAAACTGCCCCGAAATTAGATACTCTCTCGTTAAATAGAATAAGTATCGTTTAATGCGATTTTATTATCATCTCGTTACCTATGTGGAAATCTTTGATAAACTCTCCTAGCAAATTTATCGGAGACTTTTTAGCTTTACAGTAATTCTCCAGGAGCGCTAATTTAAATAAAGTAGGTATAGTTTCGCGAGTTTTGATAGATAAATTGGAGATGGAAATTCCAATTTGCAAATGGACACAGTGCAAGCAGGCGAATGGTCACGGTAAAGGCGGTGGGAGTGTCAACAAAAGTCAAAGAAGTTTGTCGCAAAATGTTACAAATGTGGCGACTTAGGTCATTATCAACGTAGCTGTAAGAATTCCAAGCAGTTCGAGAAAAGTCAGGATCTGCGTTTGTTAACCAATCGGATATCGTCAAATGTTTTGACCAATGGGAGTGCAGCGCGTTTTAGTCTGCTGCCGGATGTGCATGCGGCGCGTCGTCACAGAAGATTCTAATAGAATGGAAAAAATTCCATAAATATCACAAGAAGATTTCTATGGAACTACCAAATTCTTTAACGTCTTCTAAACTCCGCGGGTTTGAAGATGCGGTACAAAATTTGTTGTTCACGATACAAAATTGCAATTTCCTCTTACTAACCGGACATTCCGGCAAATGTTTCCCCTTGAAGATTTATTTTGTTGCATCCCATTTACTTAAAAATATTATAATTAAAGGTACTGGTTGACCAAGTAATGATATTAGAAACAATGACGCCTTTAGACTTCATGGAATTTCGCGGATACCTTCGTCCAGCTTCAGGTTTCCAGAGTTTACAATTTCGTCTCATCGAAAACAAGTTAGGAGTTCAGCACGAGCATCGTGTGAAGTATAACCAGAACTACTCTCACGTTTTCGGAGCCGACCAGGTGAGATCTACGTGGCTGCAACTTCCTACCCTCAATTAGGTGTTTGAATTTTAGGAAGCGATGAAGTTAATCGAAAAATCGGAGGCCGAGCCATCTCTATCGTTTATTGTGCAAAGGTGGTTGGAGAGGACGCCGGGTCTCGACGCTGACGGATTTAACTTTTGGGGTAAATTTCAAAAATCCGTGGAGAAATTGTTGGACGAGCAAAAACAGTCGGCCTTGGTGGGTTTTGTCTACCACCGTTTGCATTCTAACACCCGGTTTTCTAGAATGAAACCACAGAAAGTGCCCGTAGATTTCGATTGGCCAGTTGGGAGCAGCAGAGAGAGGTGTTTGAGTCCATATTTGATGTAAAGGTCCACGATGCCCTGGTAGCGCGTGGCGAAAGAAGGTTTACCCACAGAGCCCTACAGGGTGCAATTATGATCACGTTTTACCGAGACGAACCGCGCTTCAGTCAACCCCATCAAATACTAACTTTGCTCATGGACATTGACAGTTTGATAACAAAATGGAGATGTACGTTCTAGCTTTTGTAATTCTTTGAGATAACACAAACTTTCCAGATAATCACGTGCTCATGGTGCAGCGAATGATTGGGTCTTCTCAGTTAGGAACAGGTGGATCGTCTGGTTACCAGTACTTGCGTTCAACATTAAGCGATCGCTACAAGGTGTTCGTGGACTTATTTAATCTCTCCACCTTCTTGATTCCCCGTGCACTGATACCTCCACTCACTCCTATAATGAAAAGTCACTTGTGTTTGAATTGGGAAACAAAAAATTACATGAATGGATACGACAAGGCGTGAATCTCTGATGGTACCTACCTATGACTATGCGACTAATATTTTTAGTAAATGGTATTCCTTTGACCTTTAACCATTTGTATGGCATATGGATTTCTTTATGTATATTATAAACTTGTACTTATTTAATTTTTTTTCGTTCATTTGAAATTACTGTAAATTGTAATAATAGTTTACCTAATAATATTTATGACAGTATTTAGCTACTATATGCAAGATTAGCATTAAATGGATCCATTCAACGCACTATTTACTTCGGAAACACATTCATAGTTTGAATTTAAGGTACTGGCACTGAATAAGTAATTGTCCTTAGGTAAGTATACATGGTTTGTCCCAAAAGTATATAGGTCAATTTTCAAACTGTTTGAAATTATGGATTCTAGAGGCCACGTTCTATAAGAAAATTTTTTTTCCGAGTCGATCTGAAACAATTTTTTTTTCGGGCAAAAAAAAAGGCAGTACAATTCGTACTTTTTCGTTCAGACTTCTCAATCAAAAGTTATGGGACTAGAAACCAATTTCGAAAGAAAATTCAAAGGGCTGTAACTTTTGAACTAGTAGCCCAATCTTGGAACTGTTTGAAATTATGGATTTTACAGGCCACGTTCTATAAGAAAATTTTTATTCCGGGTCGATCTGCGGCAATTTTTTTTGAGGCCCGAAAAAAGGCAGTGTATAACCTTCCTTCTTTAACAAAAATCGACTGCACCAAAATTTCTCGGGATGACACCTTTTCTTATTAATTTTGGTGCGTAGAATCTAAAACAATTCGTACTTTTTCGATCAGACTTCCCAATCAAAAGTTATAGACCAATTTCGAAAGAAAATTCAAAGGACTGTAACTTTTGAACTGTTTGAAATTATGGATTCTACAGGCCATTTTTTTTCCGGGTCGATCTGAGACAATGTTTTTTTCGGGGCAAAAAAAGGCAGTGTGTAACCTTCCTTTTTTCCAAAAATCGACTGCACCAAAATTTCTCAGGAAAACACTTTTTTTTATTAATTGTGGTGCGTAGAATCCAAAACAATTCGTACTTTTTCGATCAGACTTCACAGTCAAAAGTTAATTTTCGAGTTTCGTGGTTTACTCCTTTGACAGCGAAAGACACAAATCAAATCCCAAAATGTTTATAGCCTTGCCTGAGTTTTTGGTTAATATTTAAATAATCAAAGCAAAATAAATTGTGCTGACGTCTGTCTTTATTATTGGGGACTAACATTTTATCGCTAAATGCAGGACACTTTATTACCACCATTATTTTAGTTGCAACTTACACCCCAAAGATGTCGCCACAATAATAGTATAATGTACTTTATGAAACTAACGTTAGATGTCAGAGCGCTCGTATTAAAAACCATAGACACTTCCATAGATATATGAAGTTTTAACCTCAAATTCATAAATGAATGCTTGTTGTCAAAAATTAAACTTTGTTATCATTCCTTTCTCGATTACAGATTTAAATTAGGGAACTGGGTACTGGGAGTGACAGGAAAGCGGCAGACTCGAGCTTTGCGGAATATGATACTGTTCGCTCTGGGTCGTGCAATCGAAGACTTGTAGTTCTCGATGGATGAGAAACGTTAGCATTGAATTCAGACAACACAAATTGAAAAGCGAAATGCTTTGAAACCAAAACAGGAGGACACCATGGAGAACTCGCAGACAACCCATTCTAATGCAATTCAAACTTCTCAAGGTTAAAATCGGAACGATTACATGATTGCAGCAGCTGCCGATGGTGCGAAGCTATTCTTTCAAGAATTGGGCCTAGAGTTTATTTGATTTAACTACGGTTATAAAAACGGTAGTGAAATTGGCTGCGAAATAAGGCAAAACTGTTACGCAGTTTGCAATCACGAAAAAATGTGTTGTTTGTGCGATCTTCATGTGAAAGTTGTTGTAAAACGGTTCAGTTTAATGTACCTGTTATTGAAATTGTTCTTCGAAGGGCTTTAAATAAACTCCTATGCATAAGAAGTTACGAATTGCAAAAATAAATGTTTTCTGTTAATTGAGCATGATGTGTTGCCTACAAACCAGGCTACACAAATATCGAGTGCCCATATTCAAATTAAGGATTTGCTTGAATCTCCCCAATTAAGTACATGAAGGACACCGTAATGAGATAAGTGCTATTGCTACATTTTGAAATGCCATTTAAGGAATAATAAGTGCGACGTTGCTATTAATCGCATAAATTCAAATAAAATTTTAAAAGAAGTTGCGTACGTGGCGACATCTCAACTAGACATCTAAAACTATATTTGATAGAAAGTGTATCGATTGCCAAGGAGATGGCGCACTAGTACTTATTGTATTTAAACTATCTATTCAAAAACCGGGCCTTTAAACTACAATTGCTCTACAGATCTTGCAAGACTCCGTACATTTTGAACGGCCATTTAATTCAGACTTCTCAATCAAAAGTTATAGACCAATTTCGAAAGAAAATTCAAAGGGCTGTAACTTTTGAACTAGTAGCCCAATCTTGGAACTGTTTGAAATTATGAATTCTACAGGCCACATTCTATAAGAAAATTTTTTTCCGGGTTGATCTGAGACAATTTTTTTTTCGGGGCTCAAAAAAAGGCAGTGTATAACCTTCCTTTTTTACCAAAAATCGACTACACCAAAATTTCTCGGGAAAATACTTTTTCTTATTAATTTTGGTGCGTAGAATCCAAAACAATTCGTACTTTTTCGATCAGACTTCTCAATCAAAAGTTATAGACTTAGAAACCAATTTCGAAAGAAAATTCAAAGGGCTGTAACTTTTGAACTAGTAGCCCAATCTTGGAACTGTTTGAAATTATGGATTCTACAGGCCACGTTCTATAAGAAAATTTCTTTTCCGGGTCGATCTGAGACAATTTTTTTTTCGTGCAAAAAAAAAGGCAGTGTACAACCTTCCTTTTTTACCAAAAATCGACTGCACCAAAATTTCTCAGGAAAACACTTTTTTTTATTAATTTTGGTGCGTAGAATCCAAAACAATTCGTACTTTTTCGATCAGACTTCACAGTCAAAAGTTAATTTTCGAGTTTCGTGGTTTACTCTTTTGACAGCGAAAGACACAAATCCCAAAATGTTTATAGCCTTCCATGAGTTTTTGGTTAATATTTAAATAATCAAAGCAAAATAAATTGTGCTGACATCTGTCTTTATTATTGGGGACTAACATTTTATCGCTAAATGCAGCACACTTTATTACCACCATTATTTTAGTTGCAACTTACACCTCAAAGATGTCGCCACAATAATTGTATAATGTACTTTATGAAACTAACGTTAGATGTCAGAGCGCTCGTATTAAAAACCATAGACACTTCCATAGATATATGAAGTTTTAACCTCAAATGCATAAATGAATGTTTAATTTATAGTCAAAAATTAAACTTTGTTATCATTCCTTTCTCGCTTACAGGTTTAAATTAGGAAACTGGCTACTGGGAGTGACAGGAAAGCGGCAGACTCGACCTTTGCGGAATATGATACTGTTCGCTCTGGGTCGTGCAATCGAAGACATGTAATTCTCGATGGATGAGAAATGTTAGCATTGAATTTAGACAACACAAATTGAAAAGGGAAATGCTTTGTAACCAACACAGGAGGACACCGTGGAGAACTCGCCGAAAACCCATTCTAATGCAATTCAAACTTCTCAAAGTTAAAATCGGAACGATGACATGATTGCAGCAGCTGCCGATGGTGCGAAGCTGTTCTATAAAGAATTGAGCCTAGAGTTTATTTGATAGAACTACGGTTATAGAAACGGTAGTGAAATCGGCAGCGAAATAAGGCAACACTGTTACGCAGTTTGCAATCACGAAAAAATGTGTTGTTTGTGCGATCTTCGTGTGAAAGTTGTTGTAAAACGGTTCAGTTTAATGTACCTGTTATTGAAATTGTTCTTCGAAGGGCTTTAAATAAACTCCTATGCATAAGAAGTTACGAATTGCAAAAATAAATGTTTTCTGTTAATTGAGCATGATGTGTTGCCTACAAACCAGGCTACACAAATATCGAGTGCCCATATTCAAATTAAGGATTTGCTTGAATCTCCCCAATTAAGTACATGAAGGACACCGTAATGAGATAAGTGCTATTGCTACATTTTGAAATGCCATTTAAGGAATAATAAGTGCGACGTTGCTATTAATCGCATAAATTCAAATAAAATTTTAAAAGAAGTTGCGTACGTGGCGACATCTCAACTAGACATCTAAAACTATATTTGATAGAAAGTGTATCGATTGCCAAGGAGATGGCGCACTAGTACTTATTGTATTTAAACTATCTATTCAAAAACCGGGCCTTTAAACTACAATTTCGAAAGAAAATTCAAAGGGCTGTAACTTTTGAACTAGTAGCCCAATCTTGGAACTGTTTGAAATTATGGATTCTACAGGCCACGTTCTATAAGAAAATTTTCTTTTCGGGTTGATCTGAGACAATTTTTTTTTTCGGACCAAAAAAAAGGTAGTGTACAACCTTCCTTTTTTACCAAAAATCGATTGCACCAAAATTTCTCGGGAAAACACTTTTTCTTATTAATTTTGGTGCGTAGAATCCAAAACAATTCGTACTTTTTCGATCAGAGTTCTCAATCAAAAGTTATAGACTAGAAACCAATTTCGAAAGAAAATTCAAAAGGCTGTAACACGTTACATAAGAAAAATTTTTTTCCGTGTCGATCTGAGACAATTTTTTTTTTCTGGCCCAAAATAAAAAGTTACTTTTCAACAAAAATCGACTACTCCAAATATGTTCGGCTTCAAGATTATTGCACTTCTAAAAAAATGAAAAGATGTGTGTAGGTACATATTTTTTAATAAACTTTTAGTACACCTTAAACAACTACAAGAAACAAGTCTTTACAAATTATGACTAAATTAGAAAATTCCAATACTTTGCGCTAGCCCCGCATAAATAATCAATGTAAAAACACTAACCGACACAGTGACCAAAGCTTTTACGAAAATTACCACCCATGGACCAGTTATCAAAAATTTGAACAGTGTCTCTAACAAAAAAGGTTTAAAGGATGAAAATAATAGCAAAGCAGTGACGACAGGTTTAAAATTCAGAGGAAGATCATGTCTCGTCCACAACCATATTAATGTGACCGTCGATATGTGCTGAACTAACGCAATGTTAGACTCCAAACATTTGTGTATGTACTTCCAATCGAATTCGGCACCTCTCGCGCCCACCCACAATAGCAGAGCTCGCGACAGTATCACTTCTGCAGTTGCCCAGCCGACGCCGGCTGTTAACACCTTACTATGCCCTTTTCCTGGAATACTCCCAAGTACCATGTACAATCCTACCAAATCCGCTAAATCGACTGTTGATTTCAAGAATTCCTACAGATCACAAATAAAGTTCGGCCAGCGCAATATTACTTAAATTTACCCCTACGAAATCGCCACCTAGGTCAGATTCATTGTCGGGGAAAAAAGTTGCCAAAATAAGCATCTTGGCTAACTGAGTGAACATGTAAACACAGCCTGCTTGAATACATTTCCAGAAAGCTCCATATTCGGATCTGAAATTAACTTAAAGTAGCCAATTAATTCTCCAACGTGAGATACTTACAAACCCGAGTATTTATAAGTTAAATAGTAAGGAACATAAATTAATGCAATACAATTGCCGAAGTGATATAAAGTCATTGTTTTAATTTTAAGTAATCCCACAAGTAAAAAATAGAAAAAAAAGTGTAAGGTTATGTCACATGCTCACTTCTCTCAGCTATAACAAAATGTGACTCCTTTTAAAGAGCATGCGTGAACTTTTGAAATTCTAAAGGCGGGTCCACATTGATAAATATTTGCGTTGTGTTGACCCACCTTAAGAAATTGCTCTTATCATTTCTAATTAAATGTAGGATTTTGAAATCGTTTGATGAGAAGTCACGTTCAGATTTGTATGCGAGCGTTTACCATAAGATTTAACAGTGCCAAAGTCGCCGGCTCCCCAAGATGGGCGGTGCGGCAAGGAAACGGTGCCGTTGGATGAAGCAAACGCGGCGTAAAACCGGCTCAAGCAGCCAAGCAAGCTCTCCGGCAGCATATACAGCAGAGAGAACAAGGTAACTCGAACAAAGGGGCCATTTAAGACCAAAGCATATTTTAAATAACTTCCAATAGGAACCCAGCATCGGTGGCCATATTCCAGTGTAAAATTTTTGGGATTCCAGTCGTCGCACTAGGACCCCTCTGAGCAGACCACCAATTTGCTTTTGAAAGATAGTAGGAGATTGAAGGTTAGGATAAAAAATTAGTGAGGTTAGGTTAGGGTGATAGTTAGGTTAGCTCAAAAATCTTGTATCAGGAGAATATGAAGTGCGAGGAGATTGAAGGTTAGGATAAAAAATTAGTGAGGTTAGGTTAGGGTGATAGTTAGGTTAGCTCAAAAATCTTGTATCGGGAGAATATGATGTGCGAGGAGATTGAAGGTTAGGATAAAAAATTAGTGAGGTTAGGTTAGGGTGATAGTTAGGTTAGCTCAAAAATCTTGTATCAGGAGAATATAATGTGCAAAGAGATTGAAAGTTAGAATAACATAATTAGTGAGGTTAGGTTAGAGTGCTAGTTAGGTTAGGATAAAAAATTAGTGAGGTTAGGTTAGGGTGATAGTTAGGTTAGCTCAAAAATCTTGTATCAGGAGAATATGATGTGCGAGGAGATTGAAGGTTAGGATAAAAAATTAGTGAGGTTAGGTTAGGGTGATAGTTAGGTTAGCTCAAAAATCTTGTATCGGGAGAATATGATGTGCGAGGAGATTGAAGGTTAGGATAAAAAATTAGTGAGGTTAGGTTAGGTTAGCTCAAAAATCTTGTATCAGGAGAATATGATGTGCGAGGAGATTAGTGAGGTTAGGTTAAAGTGATAGTTAGGTTAGGTCAAATTGGTTTAGGCTTCTAAAATTTTAACAAACTAATTTGACCTAACCTAACTATCACTTTAACCTAACCTCACTAATATTTTATCCTAACCTTCAATCTCCTAGCACGTTATATTCTCCTGATACAAGATTTCTGACCTAACCTAACTAGCACTCTAATCTAACCTCACTAAAACTTTAACCTACAATTCAATCACCTCCTTGGACATTATATTCTCCTGATACAAGTTTTGTAAAAGTTTAAGATGAAGCAAGGTGTTGAAATATTTCTGTGAGAGCTGGGTTTCCATCGTAAGCACAGTGTCGTTTAAAAAGGTGGAGGACGAGCACGGTACGGCCTCGGTGAACTATTTGAGGAGCTCTTCATTGACCCCTAAGCTTTGAATTGAAATTACTTCGACGCGTGTAGCGTGGTGAGTGTTGTCTCCGCCAACTCCACTCTCACCGTCCATCTACACCTTTCCCACCTACACTTATATACCTACTGCGTGTCCTGGAGTGTCTCTTCTGTATGCCCGAGGACGGCACGCAATAGACCTTCTTGTTACGGTCCACTCTTCTTACTTTGCACCCGTATGTTTCCTAAAGACGTCTATTTACTTTGTGAATTCGCGGCCTATGGCAGTAAATTAGAATAAAAAAATTTAGCATCCCTGGTGGGGATCGAACCCACGACCTTTGGATTAGAAGTCCAACGCGCTATCCTCTGCGCCACAGGGACTTGGTCACAAAATAGGTGTTTATTTGTTACTATTAACCTAAATTTTGTAAGAATTAATATTTACTACATTTTTTATAAATAATTTTTACCCGAGATTGTTTATAACAAATAAGAAAGTAATTATTAGCGAAAACATTCCCAATTAGATAAGCTTATTAACATTAACCTCTTTAAACAGTTGAATAGAAACAATTGTCAAAATTAACAGTTCACCCCCTTTCCGAAGAAATGATTTCTGATAAAATCGTACCGGCTGTTCAAATGTCAGACGTGGTCCCTAGCGAAATGTCCGCGGAGGAATTTCAAAAACGTCTCTACAGATGGTTCGAAGACCGTGGTTTGCTGTCGGAGCTTCGTGCGCACTTAAGGAAGCAAATGATCGGCGCTTTGAAAGATACGTCGATAGGGCACGTTGCATTCACACAAAGCAATAAAAGCGTGGTCTCCCCCAAAACTCAAGCCTTCAACTTGCTAGTGGGAGAGTTTCTGTTGCGTTACGATTATCATTACTCGCTGTCGGTATTCAGCACGGAGGTTCCGTTAACGAATACCATACCCGAAGTTCCCATGCCCATCAATTCGTCGCCGCCGGATAAAGGGAGCTGTAGAGAGTGGAAGTTTGCGGAGGGAGACATGTGGGATATATTGGAAACGATGGGAGTTGCTCGCGAATCAGAGATAGCAAAGAAGATTTACCACGCTTACTACGAAGAGGGAGAGCAGCCTCTGCTGGCGTACCTAATCAAATTTCCTAACCGTGTGCTCGGGTCGGTCGACGCAAATTTTGAGTGTTTGTTGTCTTCGAACACTTACGACGATTGGGCAAGGGCCGTAGGGGAATTATTGCATTCGAATCAAGTTAATGCGCAGCAAATTAAAAGTGTTTTAAACTCGATTGTATCGATCGTTGACGGTGAAAGGAAGCACTTACAGGAAGAGTGTACCAGCTTAAGGGCCAAACTTAGTCAGTACGAGAGCACCCAGAAACAGTTGGAAGTCGAAGAGTACCGGGGGAAACTGCTTCACCATCAAAATTTGTTGCAGGAGCGCTATCACCAATTAATTTTGAGGGAGAGAGAGGTCCAACAAAGAGAGTACCGACTCGAAGAGAAAGAGCAGCAGTTGGCAGTCAGGGAGAAGTGTCTACAGACAACTTTGAAGGAAAGCGAGCAAGGAGCCGGCAAAGACAACGAGCTGATTACTCAATTACAAACTGAAAATAAAGCGTTACAAGATATTAAGGAGGAGCAAGGTCGACGTATTGACGAGCTCACCGAAAAATCGACAATATTACTTCGCGATCTTGAAAGTGCCCAAACCGCCGTAAATATTCTCACCAGCGGCGGATTGCGACCATCGACCCACACGAAGGAGAAAAGCTCGCCGAGTTCGAGCGCGTCCGACGATGGAACTACAAACGTACGGCGGGAAGCTCGAGAACTTCTGGAACGGCTAACGAAGGAAAGTGAGGAAATGGATCGTCACTATCAACAGTTCAAAAGGCAAAGTCATCGTAATGGCCTTAAGCAATTCGCGGATACCGTAAGACCGCGCTCATTTAGAGATCCTTTTCAGCTTAAAGCCGGTCACTCGTTGGATTACTTTTCCGATTTGGAGTTAAGCAAACCAAGTTGCAGTTTGAAACGAGGTGAAAATGTTCCGTGTAAAGATACCGATAGTGCGTCGAGCGGATTAGATCATACGTTCCCTTTGTCAATTTCAGAAGCGACTAGTGATAATGTACCTAGTAATTAATGAATTAGTTAATTCGCAACTTATTTTGTTAAATTAAAACTGATTAATTTATTGTTTTTAATTATTTATTATTAGTATTAATAAAGTTCAAGCAGAAGGAGCGGCTGCATCACTTTCGGCATTAGGGGCCCTTCACACGAGAGACTTATTGTTTTATATGGGCGCCTCTAAATCATAAGAGTTTGGAATGCTCTTGAGTAGTATATAGTATAGTAACAGGGCATATGAGGCCACTTTTGGTAAAAAACCCATGTTATTTCCCATACAAAATTCTAAGGTCCATTTTATTTATTATCCCTCTCTTGTTCTGGGCCCTCAACAGACCTGCGCCCAATTACAGAGTGACCTGCACTGCATAATGCTTTTTAGATCACTTGTGATATGTGCGCATGCGCGTTCCCGGTCCCATAAGCTCACTTTGACCTTGAGTTCTGCGCATGCGCCAAGTTCATGGTTATCCGATTCGGTTCTGCTTATCGAGGGAAACAGGTCGGTTTATTCCGAAACAGGCTGTTCAGTAGAAACAGGTCAGTTAAACAGAATCAGATTAGAAACAGATCTGATTGTAATGAGCAGACCAATTTGTGACTGACCTGTTTCTACTGAACAGCCTGTTTCGGAATAAACCGACCTGTTTCCCTCGATAAACAGAACCGAATCGGATAACCATGAACTTGGCGCATGCGCAGAAGTGAAGGTCAAAGTGAGCTCATATCGAACGGCGGTGGCCCATGGCCCCGTATTCTTGTTGCTATATTCCTCTCTTGTAAGTGACTCTTAAATACTCATAAAAGCTCCTTAAGGGATCTTTAAGATCAAATTCTAATAAAAGTTCTAAAACCCTGTTGAATACCCTTAGAAGTCACTCCAGAAGCGATCCTAGAATACTTGCATTTAAAATTAACTGCAAGGGAGCCGTTCAAAGGTTTATCGCAATATCCTCCTTGGAGAAAACTTAGAGAGCACCCCTTCAGGGAACGTCTCTACGATCTTGCCGACATACAGGACAAAGTAAATCTCTTTACCAATAGTCCAGGAAATAGAGACTGAAAATGGACCATTTCCTGCGAAACGAGAAGTAGTCCCAATTTTTTTTGCATGTCATGAAAGAATATCTGGTGGTTAAGAATCCAAGTTTTCGACCTCCCACCCCCTGTGCTTCCCCCGTACCACCCTTAAAACCAAAGAAATTTGGTTGGTTTTTTAGTTTTTCAATCATATCTTTTTATAGATTCATTTTACAAAAAAATATTGTTATCAGAAATTGTAGATTATAAAATTCTACACAAATTCGATATACCTACACTACTTTTTTGTGAAATGTTTATTAAAAACGGTGTAGAGCTTCAGAGTTGCTTATATTTTTAAGAATTCTGAAATTTCTATGTAGATGTTTTAACCAAACATTATACTTTATCTCTTTTTAATTCTCTAATTAAGAGTTTTATGAGACACTTGAACTTATCGTGGTATAAATCCCCTACGCTGCACCCTTACCAAAGGGGATGCAAAATAATTCAACTTTCAACCCTTGCTAGTGGGGATATTTGAATCACTGTGAGATTGTAGGGCTTTCTAATATTCGTTTGAAACAAAAAAATTATCTCACTTCAGTTCAGATTCATCCTTAAAATCCTTCATCCCCCCCCCCAACCGCGGTAGGAATAGATGTTTAAAGAGGAATAGAACACGTATGTAATAAGCGTTGTACTCTCTGACTAACTTCACAATCGCCACAAGAGCATTTAAATATCTATTTCTACCGCGGGGGGAGGGCGGGTGAAACTGAACGGAATTGAGACAATTTTTCAATTTTAAAAGTATATTAGAAAGTGCTACAATCTCACAGGGATTCAAATATCCCCACTAACAAGGGTTGAAAGTTGAATTATTATGCATCCCCTTTGGTAAGGGTGCAGGGTTTATACCACGATAAGTTCGAGATATTTTCTCATAAAACTCTTAATTATAAAGTATGAAATTTGCTTAAAACATCTACATAGACATTTCAGAATTCTTCAAAATATAACCAACTCTCAAGCTCTATATCTTTTTTAATAAACATTTTACAAAAAAGTAGTGTATATCAAAGTTCTGTAGAATTTTATGGTCTACAATTTCTGATAACAATATTTTTTTCTAAAGTGAACCATTAAAAAGACATGATTGAAAAACTAAGAAACCAACCATATTTCAGGGGTTTTGGGGGTGGTACGGGGGAAGCACAAGGGGTGGGAGGTCGAAAACTTAGATTCTTAACCATCAGATGACTGTCTATGACATGCAAAAGAAATTGGAACTACGTCTCATTTTGTAAGTTAAAACCCTCTATTACTACAACTCCATTGTGGAGTCATTTGAACAGAGACGTGTCCTCTGAGGACTGCCAAGATGCCCTATAACCATCTTGGTGGTACAATGAACTCGAAACTGTTTAATAAGGCAAGAAAGAGCAAAGGTGCAGCCGACTGGGAGGCCTATATAAGGCAAACCTAAGACTATACAAGAAGGACATTACGGAGGCGTCAGAGAGAGAGAGAGAGAGAGGCATGGAAGAGTTTCTGTAGCTCTATAGCCCTCTCTGTATCTCGCCTAAATAAAATCGTTACAAAAGATTCATACCACCAGGGGCGGACTGGCCCGGGGGGGGTGGGGGTGGCGATTGCCACCTGGCCTGTACGTCATAATGGCCCATTGGAAATTTATAAGTATGTGCTGTATTTAGTTTCTTGCACTATTAATAAGTTATTAACACGTTTCTCTAATTGGGGTTGATGTTAGGTTGTTAAAAAATTAAAAAATTCTGTTTTAATTGAAGTGTTTTACAATAAATTTATCATTTTTTGTCGTAGCATGAAAGTGATGAAATACAATGATAGGCGACGCGCCTCGTTTGGATTGTATATTTTGTTACTTTTAATTATCAGCTGCAATTTAAAAAAAAACTGTATTGTAATTGATTTCCGAAAAAGGAGTACCTTAAAATGAAGCAAAAAATGTTTTTGCGGTGCACCGCAGAGCTCCCCCCCCGCCACCTTCATTACTACACTAATACTTTAATGGCCCGTAACCTATGCAATTCCCTGACTAGAAACCAATTTCGAAAGAAGATTCAAAGGGCTGTAACTTTTGAACTAGTAGCCCAATCTTGGAACTGTTTGAAATTATGGATTCTACAGGCCACATTCTATAAAAAACAATTTTTTCCGGGTCGATCTGAGACAATTTTTTTTTCGGAGCTCAAAAAAAGGCAGTGTATAACCTTCAATTCCACCTGGCCAGTAAGTACCCAGTCCGCCCCTGCATACCATAACCCAGCTAGGCTCAGAAGAGAGGATGATTCCTATACAAGACAACCTCACAGGGACAGCTGCGAGGTCCTAAAGAGACAGTCACTTTCCTGGAGCTACCACCACGCCATACTCCAACTGGCCAGAGGCTATCCCCTTCACTCCCACGGAGAATAACAGGGGTGGTTGCCTGTCAGATGGTGAATGTGGCGAGGATGACCTGGGCGGTGAAATCGTTCTCAGCATACAATATAAACCACCAGCTTTGGACGACATAATACCGGCTCTCCTGCAATGCAGACTGGATGTTATTGCTACCTTCCTTGTGAGAATATATACCTATGGGCTATATCGCTTTCAGATACATAGAGGTAGTTAAACAATGGCGAAGGTCTTTATTCTCAAATTTGGCAAAGATTACTCCACATCCACCTAGAGCATATCGTCCAATCAGTTTGATGCATTTTCTACTTAAGACACTCGAAAGACTGTGCCATAAATACATAAGGGATACGGCGCTAATACGCACATTATATTCTCCTGATAATGTGCGAGGAGGTTGAAGGTTAGGATAAATTATTAGTGAGGTTAGATCAGAGGTTAGGTAAGAAATCTTGTATCAGGAGAATATGATGTGCGAGGAGGTGGTTAAAAGGTACGTGAAAGTACTTGTGTTAGTGAGGTTAGGTTAGAATGCTAGTTAGGTTAGGTCCCTCAATCACCTCCTGGCACATTATATTCTCCTGATACAAGATTTCTGACCTAAACCAACTATCACTCTAACCTAACCTCACTAATATTTTATCCTGAACTTCAATCTCCTCGCACATTATATTCTTCTAATACAAGATTTCTGACCTACTCTAATTCTCTAACATAACCTCACTAATATTTTATCCTAATCTTCAATCTCCTCGCGCGTTATATTCTCCTGATACAAGATCTCTGATCTAACCTAAGTAGCACTCTGATCTAACCTCACTAATAATTTATCCTAATCTTCAACCTCCTCTCACATTATATTCTCCTGATACTAGCAGCTTAACTAACACGCATACTGTCCAGGAAGATCTACGTGCAGAATCAGCCCTGCCTTGCGTTGTAGGGCAGACTGAGAGATGGATCTAAAAAAATGGAAGGAACAGAGTTACACAGACGGCGGGACGGCTGTAGTCCAACTGAGACCAACCACGTTGGGGGAATCCTGGCCGAACTAGGCTATTCGATTAAGAGCCGCCTCCCCTTTCAGCGTCGAAAGGTTCATCTCGCGTGTGGGATGGCTTGAGTTGAGGGGCCAGACGAGCCTTGTCAGGGAGGTAGTACAAATGGCCCGACTTTGAGGACTAAGTATACGCGTGGACAAGGTCCACGCTCCTATCGTAATCCAGACTTTCAGGGGGGGGGGGGGGCAGGTCGCGCATTGCCCGATCTGGCGAGGTTTTCGCCCGTCCTTACATAGGAATGGAGAACAGATCAAGTTAATGGCAATCAAGTGTTAATTAGATTCAATGCAATTAAAGAATGGCAGTTATCTTAATTTAGGAAAATATAACCCATACATTGGCATATACATTGCGATCAAAAATGAGTGACCGTCGAGTCACCTTTGGAATTTTTGTTTACATGGGAAATCGTACTTAACTTCAACTTTCAAAGGCGACTCGAGAGTCACTCATTTTTGATCGCCCGATACTTACTGTAAATTTATCTTAAATAAATTTTATTTTTAAACAAGTGCCCGCCCCAACTTTGGATTTCTTCAGAGAGAGGCATGGAAGTTTTCGCAGTGCTATAGAATCCACATCCTGTGCATCTCGCCTAAGTAAAAGTCTAACAAAAGTGTAGCAAAAGTTGTACAAGGCTGGATATATACAGTGTGTCCAAGATAGAAGAAACAGCAAGCCTGTAAAATGATATTTTAAAAATTTCTAAATTCAAATCAGTTCCGAAGATATTCGAAAAAAACCGAAATTAGCCATATTCGTTTTTATTTTTTGCCGGCCCTGTTTGAAAAGATATCAAAAAACAATTATATCACTTCCTCATAGGAACTTAAAAGCTGTACAATTGGCCTCTTTGAGAAACCATCATGGCACAATATAATTCTTTATCACCTTTTAAAGGAATTATTTTGACATTTTGTCAACGCCTACTACAGGAAAATGTTAAAAATTGTTTATTAGTTAAGTCAGAAAAAAGGCTTGCTACTAAATTCTTAACATTTTGGTGTAGTAGGCGTTGACAAAATGTCAAAATCATTTGTTCTTGTAAATAACATACCGTGCATAATTGTATTCGTAATCAACAATGCTCTTCAGTACAGTATGTTACTTTTTTTCCGGTCCATACAAAGATACGAAGTGGATAATGGTTTCTCAATGACGAAACGTCGCAGTAAAAATTTGTGAGTACCATTTTTTCGAATATCTTTGGAACTGGTCGGAAGTTCCGCATTTTTAAAACATCTTTTTACTGAGTCCAAAAATGCGCAACTCTAATTTTACGGACTGTGTATCTCTTATGGTTTCCGATTTCTCCATGATGCTTATTTTTATCTTGGACACACTGTATATTTTGTAATCTTTTCTCAATGTTCAAAAAAAGTGAAACTTTCGGATCTTCAACTTAGTCTTAGAAAATGTTCGGGGAAGAACCCCCGGTCCCTGCGTGTTTGTTGGGGGGTATATTTAATACCCCCCACTCCCAGGTGTAGGGGAAGAACACAAATTTGGCCGAGGGCGCGGATGTATCTAAATACGGCTCTATATAACGGAACACTCCTTGTTTATCAACCTGACAAAAACGGAGTTAGTTCTCTTCACTAGAAAAAAAAAGCAGTAGAGGTTCTTCGAACTCCTCTGCTATTCTAAACACACACCTCCAATGTGGCGTGATAAGACCTATGCTCTGTTATGGAGCAATTGTCTGCTGGCCTCCAGGCTCTTCACAACCATAGCACTTTTTTTAACCACGTGCAAAGACTTGCATGCCTTAATTGCACAGGCGCGTTGCGAACAATTTCCACAGCCGTCGGAGGCCCTATTGTGGATCTGCTTCCACTAGATATCGATATGAGAGAGCAGCCTCACTGGAGCCCTTGCGTCTGAAAAATGTGTTGTTGAACAGCAGGAGGTACGGAGATGGGTCATTATCGAATTCTGAGCGAGGCGATTGCCGTACCCTAGAGGGGCGATTGGACTTCCAACCAGACATATTCATCTTCACGCATGGATCTAAAACAATGGAAGAAACAGGCACTGGTATTTACTCCAAACCACTGAACTTCTGTATCGCCCAACCACTAGGAAAACTTCATACTGTACTCCAATCAGAGTTGGTAGGAGTAAGGCTGTGTGCAAGAAAAGTACAAAACTATCAAACAAATATGCGTCCTCGATAACGGCGAACACCTGTTTATCTTCAAATATGGAGATATAACGAACTCCTTAACGCAAGACCAGATTTAATTGAGATTTAAAAAATAACGCAATTACCTCCAGATGTCCCTAATAATTCTTAAGGTAATCTAACTGAACAACAAATCAATCAAGATACAAAAGGTGATTATTTAAACAAAAGTAAGCATCTAATAATTCTAATACCAATCGACATTGACTTCAAATTCAAATAATACGATCGAATTTGTGTTCAATCCAAATTAACAACCACATTTCTTACTCATCCAACCTCGGTTAACTTGGAACACCCGAACAGGTGTAAACGTCGTCATATATTTACTAAAAAGATTAGTTTCAATAACATTTTAATTCTGTTTAAATCTGTGTTATAATGCAGTATTCTAACCCCAACATTAATTAACTTAAATATAAAAATATAACAATTCACACACTACACTTAGAGATTTAAAGAGTAATAGAAAAATTTCCTTAACAAACAGCCTTGAAAACCGAAATCACGTTCGCGGAAGACACATACTGAATCATCACTGTGAAAAAAGGGAACATCGTCCTTTCTAAACGTAAATGCAAAGTGGAACATTAATTGAAACTTAAACTTCCTCTCGAGTAACGCTTTAAGGTGCTACGAGGTGAATTGGTGCCCGTTACTCGCATCCAAGATTTCGAAATCGGAGTGCTAGTTTGAGCGGGCGGTGCGCGCCCCGGAGTTTCAACCGTATACTTTCCGACTTTTGGACTCGGCCAACTAAAAAAAAATCATCGAGAATCGCTCTACGTTCAAAGACACTTACTTCTTTCGATCGTAACTCGAACAGAAGCCCACCGTATGAAACCATTTGTACACAAACGGATAATCCTGAGGGTTTAATATAGCAACGGCAAATTTCACGGCGTTATATGCCACATGATCGGTTTTCGTGGGCACATTTCTGCAACAATCAGTTCCATTGGCATACAGTGGTGTAGAAGTAGACATAGGGATTTCCTATGTCTACTTTTAAATGATAAAAAGTTTCTAAAGGACGCCTAACTTTATGCAACCAAAATAACTAACTACAACAAATGAAGATCTGCCTGTCATATTAATTAATTTGAATATTGTTTGACTGTTGATATTTCCAATTGGTATAATGCCGGTAACAGTTAAAGGAGCTAAGAGATTTATTTTTTGTGAAATTAATTAATATGACAGCCAGAGCTTTGTTTGTTTCAAGAAGTCATTTTGTTTGCATAAAATTAGGCGCCCTTCAGAAGACTTTTTATCATTTGAAAGTATACATAGGCTACATGAATATCACTGTATATGCAGATGACAAGTACATACCCTTCTATAAAAATATCGTGATCCGGCAGAGGGCAATCTTCGAACGTGTCATCGTCACTCAAATTAGTAATCTCGGGACTGCTGGGCGGCGTGTGGTAGATTTCGTTCTCCTCGTCGTCTAGTTCCATAAAATCTTCTACAGCTAAAACAATTTCGACGATAAAATTGAATAAGCGTCGGTCGTAAGCAAACAAATGGTTAAAATTGCGTGCGACACGTTAGACGTTAGTGCGGCGCCAGTTGGTTCTGCCATTATTTCAGTCAGCGCAATAATAACCAGAAACATAGTGTAACAAATAGGATAGTGAGACAAACTTTCGGGGAAACATGATTTATAGACGTCACGCGGTGACAATATCGGTTTAAGGGTCTAAAAGTACAAATACCCTAAGAGTTATTGAGTTTCAAAAGCTTCAAATACTGTGCAGATTCTATAAATTCTAAAGATTTTGATGAAAATCCTGAAAACTGAAGTATCTACCTATATAGAGTGGACCGTGAAACAGTACAAAAATACAATGTATTTTGACTGTAGTACTCGTTTAAAAATGTAAGAAAATTGCTATTGCCTCCAAGATTGGGCTACTAGTTCAAAAGTTACAGCCCTTTGAATTTTCTTTCGAAATTGGTTTCTAGTCTATAATTTTCGATTGAGAAGTGTGATAGAAAAAGTACGAATTGTTTTGGATTCTACACACCAAAATTAATAAGAAAAAGTGTTTTCCCGAGAAATTTTGGTGCAGTCGATTTTTGGTAAAAAAGGAAGGTTATACACTGCCTTTTTTTGAACCCCGGAAAAAAATTTGTCTCAGATCGATCCGGAAAAAAAAATTTTTCTTATAGAATGTGGTCTGTAGAATCAATAATTTCAAACAGTTCCAAGATTGGGCTACTAGTTCAATAGTTACAGTCCTTTGAATTTTTTTTCGAAATTGGTTTCTAGTCTATAACTTTTGATTGAGAAGTCTGATCGAAAAAGTACGAACTCTCTTTATAGCCTTGTTATCTGTAATTTATATAGGGATATTTTTTTGCATGAACCGCACAATTCTAGAGATAAATCTAGTTGTTTTTGTGTTACCAACCTAATAAAATACAGCGGGACAACTATGATGCTAAGGGACGCTTTTCAAATGTTTAAAACAATCTTTGAAAATAACTGAGATACCACGGGAACACTGAAAATGTCAAATTTCGCTTTCATTTTCCCTAGCTTAAACGATTGGATATGAACGATTCCTAATGACACCTTCTATAGGCCCTTTTTTTGGAGAATCTGTTTTCAGAATTTGCATAACACACTAGATGTAGAAACTACAGGCTCTTATGGACGCCATATTGGATTTTTACGGAATGAGAAAGAGGATAAAAAGAGCAAAATAATAATAACGCTTTCTTTTTTTCTTTTTTTTTTTGTTCTCTATCTCATTCTGTAAAAATCCAATATGGCGTCAAAAAAATAAAGAACCTGCAGCTTCTACACCTAACATAGTATCGAAATTCTGATAACAGATTCAGATTCTCTGAAAGAAAGGGCCTATAGCAGGTGCTAACGGGAACCGTCCATTTCAGACCGTTAAAGCTACAGAAAATGTAAACGAAATTTGAGTTTTTCGGATGTTATTTTCAAAGATTTTTCAAAAATTTCAAATGAGGTTTTTTTAGTTACAAAAAGCGGCAACTTTGCCTCCATTTAAAAAGTATTCTGTGAAGTTAGCCCCGCCCATACACTTTTAATTAGATGAAACCACATATGACGCTAGTGCTATTTTGTGCTCAAAGATTACGATTTCAATGTTTAAAACAAAAAAAAAATGCTAAAATATTCTGCGCCCTTGTAAAAAAAACCTGGGCAACTCCACGGAGTTGTGGACTTTCTCGTAAATTAACAGCAATTTATGCGCCCTAATTACAAAAATGTACTGCAAGAGTAGGTAAGTAAGGTCGGTTCCGGCGCACTTTGACCTCAGTGCTCCAAGTCATTGAAGGTTATCATGGTTGTCTAAACTAAAAACCTACTAAGGGTCATCATGGTTGTTGTCAAAGCTAACTAGGGTTCTTGCCTGAAGTAATGTCACCGAAGATCATTCTACATGAAGAGAGTCATCGTTACTCCTCGCCGATCGGGGGGTCTGGGGCGGCAGCGACAACGCGTCAGACTCTGGGGGCGACCACATTAATGGACATGATGCGTATTACTGGCGAGAACGCTCTCCACCACTAGCAACAAAATCCCTACAACCACGATGACCTTCATTAACATTGAGTTTAGACAACAATCCTGCTTGGACTTGGCGCATGCACAGATCTCAAGGTCAAAGTGTATCTGCGATCAATTTGTTGTTAATATATTATACATAATTTTTGCAACAGTTTCTTTAAGTCCTATAAAAAGCAGAATTTATCAAGCCTATGGCTACTGGGCCAATCTAATTTTTGAAATGTCTTATTTTCTATCAGGGCTTTTAAGGATAACGAAATGGACGATTGACTAGCTAAAGAAGGCCGGCCTTTCGTACGACCTCAACTAGCATGTGGAATCGCACATGTAACAGTGGGAAAATAAATGAAAACCATTTTAAACAAATGACATAAGGCATATTCGAAGATCACTGGTTACAAACGAGCCAAGATTTTAACTAGAGGTACCCTCCAGCTAAAAGACTGAAGACTAGTCACTAAGAATGATTTCTTAATACCTTTGCCAGGGGTGCTGATATATTGTGATATTAAGAGGAGTATAATACTTCAAGGTACAGGTTTCTAGAGAGAAGGAAGTTGCACCTACCCGAAAATGTTTCAAAATGCTCCCCTCAGAAAGATTTTGAACCTATTAAGATGAATTCGACAGTCTCCAATTTGCTGCATACTGGGAGAGATGTCTCCCAAGGTTATATCTTGGGACCACCTTTGTTTATGCTTTTTATTAACTTTTAGGAATTTGCATATTGATCTTGCTTAAAGTAACTTTGATATTCCTGAAGGAATCAACCTATGAGAACCATTTCTGCCTACTTAACGTTTGTCTTAATTCAACATAGCCAAGCTGCATACGCTCGCAACTCCCTCTTTCAGACTCGGATATCAAAGTTTGTCTCACTACCTCATTATTTACACTATGCCAGAAGTAACAAAAAAGCGATTTACCCTCACACTGCGATGTTTCACGTTCAAACAAGTTACGCGACGTGTATTTAAAACTATTACTTTTTTTTAACGGGTGAGCATTCCAAGTACAAAAGCAAGCTTTCGCATCATTCCACATCTGAATGTAATCGTCCTCATTGTCCGAGCTCCCAACATTCTCCGTGTCCGATGTTACGAACGAATTTACAATACGATCCAATAAGCAGTGCACCTGGTGATTGTGAGATGGCGCTTTTTTGGCAAACGAACGAGTCTGCTGAATGCTACCGCTCTCATCGTCCGAAGAAAAGTTATCGATTTGTTTGTTATACAACTCTAACCAATATTCTAAAGTCTTTTTCACGTGATCAAATTCGAAAGGTAATCCGATTAAGTCTTTTAGTTTCCCACCGATCAGCTTACCTAAGCGGTCATGCACTAAATGGAAATTTACGTTCGCAAAGCGTGAATCGTCCATAAAACTATTAATTAGTAACTCTAATTGCTTCACTTGCGTTTGCAATACGACCGATGTGTCATTTTCTTCTAGCATATGTAAAATGTCATTAGTGATACGATGCGCGAACACCTGACACGATTTTTCCACATACAAAAGCGGATTAAGATCAGACTTAAACAATTGAGCATCGGACAGTAAATCACTTCGAACGGCAGAACAACTGGTTTTTAACGGTTTGCATTTAATTAGACGATCGGACAAGCTGCATGCCGCAAAATTCTTACATAGTTCTGACATTGGACTTGTGGTATTATCGTGATCTATTTCTTTAGTAGACCGCTCACTATCCGTATCGTTTCCTACCATTTCGGCTTTGTATCGTTCAGACAGATAGTTTTCGAAGATCTGTAAACCTTCGCTCGTCGATAAGTCGACAAACTCGTCTAGAAATGCCCAGTACTCCTTCCAGCTGACGTCGAATTGCATTGATAAATTTTTGCCCAATCGCTCGACTCCCTTCTCCAAGTCGTCAAATTTCAGATTGAGCGCGACGTTGGCGGCCTTTAAAGAACGAGGCGGCGTTTTCCACGCCCTGCGGAATCTTGCGGCGCTCTCTCTGTCCATCGGACCGGCGTAGGCGCGAATTTCGACTCTCGGACTGAAAATATCTTTGGCTAAATTCTGTAAAGCGAAAGTATAAGAGCGAAGAACGGTGAAGCGTGATACAAACCGGAGGACTCGACGGAGAAAACGGCTCTCCTATCACAGGTGGAATACAGTTATCTTCGGATCGTAAAACAGGAACGTAAAAGTTTTCATCTAACAGCAGCGCTATCTTATTTTTAAGATGGACTAACGACGAGTCACAACGATCACATATTATCTATAATTAACATCTATCATTATCGTGACATGAGAAATTGAAAAAAAATTAAAATTCCACCAAAATATCAAATGCAATGGCTAGCTTGTAAGAGCCATTTCAGCTGGAGGTTGAGGTATGTATCTCACCCCGGACACAACTGAGCGTGAAACAATAGAACTCTCCCTTGTAAGGGTATCTTATATACAAAGAGATTAGAAATATCTCTCATATTGCAATATCCAGAGATGCTTTAAACTGTGGTCAAAATTTAAATAAAAGACATGAAACCTTTTTTCAACGGGTCTCTTTAATAAGCAAGATAATATGGAGTTCATAATGTCAAATTATTAAAATCAAAATAGGCTTCAGCAATTGAATAAGCACCTTAAAGAAGTATAACGCCCGTGTTAACTGACGAAATAGGAAAATCTGCCCAGGATTCTGTCGTCCCTCTGTTGTCGGGGAAAGTGAATCACAAATTTAAAGCTAGTTACCGACTTTGCAGATTTCTTTACTTCTTTAAAATTCCAACGTTGCCAGATTTTTGGCAAGCGCTTTGAGTTTGAATAAACTAAATTAAAATATTGAATAAGCTTTTATTCAATGCCAATAACAATAATATGTAATGGAGGATCAATCTGAAAACTGAAATGTAAGATCATAAGGAACAAAAAATAAAGTAAAAAATGTAGTTTAATTTAATAAGAAAACAAAAGAACTGTTCTAAGGACCATTATCTTTACATAATAAACAATCAAACTTTACCTAGCTCCATATAAGGATCTGATAATTTTAGGCACATTAAGATCTCATAATTAATTTCAGATTTAATGTTAGAATGCGTACTTTCATTATAAGTAATTACTAATTAGGTAGGGTGGTACCATTGAATAAGCACCTTATATTCAATGTATATATAACATTTTTTGACAAAAAAATTAGTTACCGGTTCAAACTAGGTTTTTCATGGAAGTGAAATGATTAGAAATTAGGGAAAAATAATTAAAACAGCTGAACTTTTCCCCGGATGAAATCCCGGGGGTTGAAAGTGGTGTTTTGCAGTTTGTGGCAAAACTACTAATTTTAGGCTGAAATGTTCAATATAAAAGTTATAGAGAATAAAAGAATGAACGACTTTTGTATCTGCACTATTTTCACATAACCTCCAATTTTCCTTAAAAAACCGGAAAAGCTGCTTTTTCGTTTTTTATTCTTATTTTTGCGAAAAAAAGTCGTAGGGATTTGAAATTTGGAGAAAACATAGCTTGTTTTATGATAAAAAAGGAGACAATTTTGGGCCGGTAAAGTAACGCGTTAGTAATCGATTTTCAATTTGTGTTTGTAAGATTTAAATTTACATTAAACTTATAAAATTAAAAGTTTCCGAGATCTCACGATTTCTGAAAAAAAACCACCTCTTTTTCAAGGGGATGAAACATATATTATTTTTTCCATCGTACAGAGTAAAGTCACTAGATATAGAAAGTACCGCAATCATCCGCCATTTTTGGGCAAATTTGCTGCCAACTTAAAAAAATTGACAAATAAAATCTGAATAGCTGTCATTTTTTATAACCTAACTTCATAGTACTGTCATGTTTTATAAAAATATATACAGATATCTCCAAACAGGTGGAACAATCCCTAACATTAAAGTTACTAGAATCTGGTAACTTCCGCCATTTTTGGGCAAAAATCATGCGTTCTCTCTCTAACACACGAGCCCAATGGTTTGCGGTACTTTCTATATCTAGTGACTTTAGTACAGAGGAGCGCGGGGTAGCAAAATTTTTGGGAAGACTTATATTTTAATAAACGAAAATAAAAAATGTTATTCCTATAGAAAAACTTCCAAAAACTGGAAAAACAGTTTAAAGATATACACAGTTTTTGAAATGATAAATCAACGTGTTGGATGTTAATAAGAGATTTTTTCGAAATTTGTCTTCTTGCTTCTCTTTAATGTTCCTAAAATATTTTCTTTTGCTCCTAGCAGGATCTTAAGTCAAACGTGACGTAGAAAAGGAAGATCACTAACATCAATAATAAATAATTCAATTTCAATGTTATTATGTATTATGCAAAAACTACGTAGATAATAAAAAAAATTGAGGCAAATTTCTAATTACATTCGCTTCAATAAAACGGACTAGGTACCGAAATACTCGGTGCAAAAACATAAAATAAAATAAAGCCACTTTTCGATAAAACAAAGTAAAATATGACAACACTGTTCAACTCTGATAAACAAGGAAAACAAAGGGCCCCTAAGTATAACTGGTTTCCCTGTTTAAAATAGTCATTACTTACCGCCCGAGGCCAATTATCCTTCAATATTTGTGGTAATTAACCACTTTGCAGTGTATGCAACACACCTTACACCAATTTCAGGTTTTCCTATGTAGTTATACTTCTTTAAGGTGCTTATTCAATGCTTCAGCAGAAAACAACGAAGTTTCAAACAAATGTTGTCAAAAAATTTAAATATTACTTTGAAACTCTGGTCGTAATGGCATTTTGAGCTCAGAAGCGCACTTTTCTGCGTTATCTGTAACAGAAAAAAACGCAAACAAAAATACAAGAGGGATATAAATATTGCGATAGCAATGTCTAACGTTTGACACTTAGGCACTCGTATACTAAAACCGTAAGAGTCAATAATCTCAATAATAAGAATCAATAATTCAATTTACGTCAACTAAACAAAAGCAAAATTTTGTTCCGACAACGAATCCTCCATACAAATCGGTGATAAAAGCGTAAACGCGACTTCAAGAAAACGTTTTTAAGATGCACACAAACTAAATTTCTATACAACAACAATAATCTAATTAATTCAAAATGTCAATAAACTAACACGAACGAATTCTTCACAACGATACAAGTAACGCAAATCAAAATTGTAGATATCGGTCTCGGAGTAGGTCTCGGGTAACATTCAAAATCTACAGGTAACTAAATATCTTCGCATAACAAACTAATCTAAAAAATGACGTGTTAAATAATGCCAAGTGATAATCATACCGGGTGATCCAATAAGACTGTTCCTAGGCCATATCTCGGGAACCGTTCGTCGTATGACTTAGGGGTAAAGAAAATTATTTGGTAAATCGATTATGAACAATCGCTGGAAAATATTTCTAAGTTCTAAAAATGATCACCAGAGGGCGTAACTGCCATCTTAAATTTTAAAATCGCATATTCTTTAAATTTCGCATAATAAACTAAACATACTTTTTTGACATTTTTAAAGAGAACCAGTTTATCTATCATTTTCGTAAAAACAAAAACTCAGTTATTTCAAAAACAAAGATGGCGTGGAGCGTTCAATAACCTGCTTTATCTTCTTAACCGTTTGACCGATTGTAACAAATTTGGTATCGTTGAAAAGAGCATCTGCGGATCTGCGCATTTCACTACAACACCACTCACATGATACAGAACCTCGTGCAGGACTGTTGGAAACGAGTTGTTAGTAAAAACAAGTAAAAAGGTTTTCGCGCTAAGGCGAATAACCTTACCGCCTTTTCCATGCATGTTTTTCTTTACTACCAGCATCTATGGTTAAAATTTCACGAAAACATCTCCATACACAAAAATATGATTTTTGCAATACACGATATATTTACCCCTACTAGAACCACCTGTGATTAAAATTTCAAAAAAATATCTCTATCAGTAAGGAAGTCGACCTGCGCAAAGCACATTTTGATCTGTACCATGTTTTTCTTTACTAAAAGCATCTATGGCTAAAATTTCAACGATGTGTCTATAAAGTTGGTGTTGAGCAGTCTGCTCATGCATCTGATTTTTACAACATGCGATATGTTTGCCTTTACTAGAAGCTTCTTTTGTTAAAATTTCAAAAAATATCTCCATAAATTGCGCAGCTTACACATGCGCACAACTGATTTTACTATAATATGCGATATGTTTATCTTTACTAGAAGCATCTGTGGTTAAAATTTCAACAACATATATTAATAAGAAAGTTTATATTGCGCATGCAATTAATCGTCAAGATTTTTCAGCTACCGAATACAAAAAAACAAAAATATATTTAAAACTGTAGCAGTGGCGGCCTCAGACGGACGGACGGAGTGAGTTGAAAAATGCACTAAAAAAGGTAGGTCTATTGTTTTGTAGGGTGTTGGTAGATATGTAAATTACAGTAAGGGTAGGCGTCGGTTTGGAGGGGGGGGGGGGGCAATGGGTTGAAAATTTTTTCTAATTTTTTAAAAATCAGATTTTGTTTTGTTTTTTGAGTTCTGTAGCCTGTAAGTACAAAAAAAAAACGGAATTAAAAATACTATTATAATGATTACACAACATAACTACAAATACAAATAACAGTTCAGGATATATGGCCATTAGACGTACGCCATCTTGAAGTATGAATTTAAAAAAAAAGACACACAAAAACCTAGATATAACCAGAAGTTCCGCGCGTTTCTGAGAAAAAACCTTAAAAAAGAAAGGTCCCTTCTAGTACTCAATTTTTTTTACATACCGCATCTTGCATATGGTCGCACTTTTTTACATGAGCGCTACGTTTAATTATAGTCACAATGTCTTTATTTGAGCATATTACAAGTCAAAATAAAGGGAAAAAAAATGAGGAAATGACTATACAATTACATAATAAATAATGAGATAAATGATATAGGCAAAAAACCCAAAGCCCAAAGGGCTAACTTCAAGAAACAAAACAAAAATTGCCCTTCCACTTCTTCTTGATCACGGTATAAAATGAGAAAGGTGTACCAACTGCTGTATAAGAAAGAGACAGCAGTTAATCAAACTTTCGCTAATAAAGCCTTATAGTGTTTTCTTACAGAAATAACAGCCTCAAATCGAAGGACATAGTGAAAGAAATCCCACAGAAAATTTCTACTGAAGTCTTCAAAGCCTACAGAAATCTTGTGGTCTCACTCAAACCCTTGAAAATTTGTATGAAGTCCTAGAAGTTTGTTCAAGTCTACGTGAAGTCTCTATTGAATCTATAATAAGAAAGGATTATACCCATATCAGGAATGAGAAAAAAGCATTTGAACAACCTTTATAGAAGATTTAAAGATTTTATGGATTACACAACATTTGAGAAAGACTTGAAGAAACCCACTAAAGCTCTCATACCTGACCGGCCAGTAACTAAGTAGTGATGGCATAAAAATCAAATTTACTGTTCTCTGGTGACGACTACTAGTAATTAAAACATTGCATCATCATAATGAAAAGTTTTTTTAGACACAATAATCATGGACACAATTTCGATTTACCCCTAAATTATCTTACTTACCATACTTGCAGTTTTGCCATACTTGTTTAAAAGGGCTTTATCACACTGAGAATAAGACACCAACAGTTCAACTACTTCTACGGCTCCAAATTTGGCAGCAAAATGCAGGGGTGTTTCGTTCAACCCTTTATCCGGCGTATTTAAATATAAGTCTAACAACATAACAGCACGTTCGTTAGCATCCTGATGGCTATCGTCACCGTACAGCAACTTTATAAAATTCGTGTTCGACACAGTATTCAAAATCAATTCGCACATGTCGCGATTTCTCGACTTTGCAGCCACATGCAAAGCGTTATAACGCGATCCTTCCTAAAAAAAAGTGTTAATTAGAATGTGACACACTTTACAGAATTACCTGTAAAATTGACGGCGTGTCACCACTGCTTATTAAGTAACGGGGATTTTCCCAAATACAACTGCTAACGACGTCCAGTAAACCGGCCTCGATATTCTTTCTTAGCTTAACTAAATCTTGCGATTTCGGTCCCCGAAATGCCGGCGGTTTCTCGCCGATAATCGGAGGATCTTTAGTCGATTGGATTTCGTACACAATCAACTTGTTATGATTTTCCGATCCGTTTACCGCAAACTCGACCGCTTCATGGTAAAAATGAAACGCTTTAAACCGCGCTTGTTTATATTTTTTGATTAGTTTAAACGCTTCCATTTTGTCTTGAAAGACCGTGCTCTCGTCATTATGTTCCACTTGCACATCGTAGGGTATATGGACACCATAATACACGGTATCCGAGCTGATTTCTTGGCCATTTGGTATGTTGTTTTGTGATCCCATTATTACTTAGTCAGGAGAAAAATTACATTCAATGTAGAAGTTTCAGTTGTTAACATAGTACCTAATATTAATAATAATAATGCAACTCCGTCATAAAAAAGAACGTTAAATACAAATGCAAATTTAAATATGATGACATCTTTGTTGAGGTTAGCTGTCACTTTTCATGTGATTACCCATCCGCAAACGGTAGTCAATGGCTGTGGTTAATATCCCATAATTTGTACAGTGTGTCAGTTTAAACTTCAGATTAGTTTAACTACTTGTGAAATATTAGCCAATCAAATCCTTTACCCACAATATAATTAAAAACTGACATTGAGAATGTTTCGTTTTTATTCGATAGTCCTTAAAATAATGTAGTTATGACGATTTTTTTTAAAAACAAATGAACGCCAATAACTAGGGCCGTATTAGAACCAACAAAGTTTTAATGAGTTCTGTCATTTTCGGGTGCAACGACTACTCCCTGTTATACACTTACCTACTGTATTAGTAAACGTGCATCAAAGAAGAGCTTAAATATTTTATTTTGGAAATATAGTTTAGGCAGTAAAAATAAAGTACATTCCATTTACTGCATTTTAACATTGTTAAATATCTGAATGGTATGATTAACGAGCTAAAACTATAAGATCACATTTTTACAAATAGAAGCAAAAAAATGCTTTTGTACATTCTAAACATTATATACTTAATAAAATGTTAAAATTAGTTATGGTATTAACGTATAAGACCTGTATAAAAGATCACAAGTTACGATAAAATGAATAAATGAAAACGATCCAGTCAGAATGAATATCAAAATATTATCACATAATAAATTTTATAATAAAAACCAACCGGTACTAGATAAGCACCGCTTTTGCAATTGCACCAATAATTCTAAACAGCCTCTCTTAAAATCGACTCTTCATCTGTCTCGCCTTCAGAAGCGTACGGCTGCGCCGACTCCGCCTTGTCCCTGATTTGTAAATGGAATCCCATTATGGTATTCATAGCCGACTTGATATTCTCATATAGTTTCGGATACAAAATTTCCTGCTGCGCTAACATTTGCTTCGCTCTCAGTCGTTGTTTAGTTGTACTATCGAACTGATTAGTTTCCAAATTAACCGGCAGCCTATGACTAATTACAAATTGTTTGATCGCCTTTTCACGAACGTAGATGAACGGTCGGATTATACGCAATTCGTGGTCCCTAATCAATTGGATTAGAACTCCGAATAGACTTTCAACACAACTTACCTAACGAGATAATGAGCATTCATACTGTTAATTTTACCAGTATGGAATATCGACAAAATGAAACTTTCGCAAAGATCATCCAAGTGTTGTCCTACTGCTAAAACGTTATATCCGCATGATTTGGCGGTTGAATATAAACGACGGCGTTTACTTGGGTTACTGAAGCTGTAGTAATTTTCCTGTACGGGTTGAAGGTCTGCAAATGAATTACGCAACATGTAATACATTGATGGCGAGTGATTGTTTAAGGCTCCTCTGTAGTCAATTTGATTGCAACACTAACAATCAATTATTGGATGATGTTTCGAAGCTATTACCTGATATGGAAAAATGTAGCTGAAACTTTTAATGTGGTTGTACCAAGTTAGTGGGAGGAAAAAGAAGACTTTTCCTGGTACAGACAAAATGTGTTAATATTCCGTTTGCATTTTATTGTGCAAAGTGTCTAATTTAACATATTCAAAGTCCCAAATAATCCCAGCCCAGAAAATCAGGCAAAATCCAAGATGGCGGCTGAATTTTGCATTTAAAATATTATAACTGTGTTATTTCAAAGGAATTGCTAAAAGTATTAAAAAAATAACCACGGACCACATTTTTTTTCCAAAATGGCGGCCATTTAGATACTTATTTAGCAATTTAATTTTTGAATATTAAAATGGCCGCCATTTTGAAAATAATGAAGTAAAGTGTATTGACAGCTGATTCCGTTGGAGGAAGAATTTGTAGCTGAAGTGTGTAGTTTAGTATCAAAAACTACAGTTGGTGGCCATTTAAATATTTCAAAACAAAATAGCTAAATACCAAATACAGCAATTCATAAAAACATTTGATTATTTTTTGACATATGCGCGATCAACAACAGAGGAGCCTTAACTTCCGATAAAACGGTGCAAATTTTTGAATTCAAACATTCAAATAATTGAATAATTGAAATATTTGTATTATTTAAACTATTTAACAATTGCAACTGATGTACAGTGTGTCCTCGATTTGTTTGGTCGTTGGTTGTAAAAGACAAAACATTTTCGAATTGAACTTTGCGCTTCTGGGCCTTTGAAATGTTTTTGCAGGGGACGATGTAACTGAGCACCTATTTTCCGCCTTGAAATTTACATACTTTCGTGACCACCCTGTATCTGGGGACGCTTCATTACGAAGTGTCGTGCCGAAAGTATTTGTGTTGGTTCTAGGAGTTGAAGATAAAAGGTAAAGATAATTGATTTCTAGAGTTGTCTTTCAGCCGCTGTTACCGTACACAAAAGCTGTAATTAATTCGCCGTTTGCAACCGTTCCCACCAAGACATTCCAATTATTAAGACGAGGGCAGGCGCGGATTTAAAGCGGGGAGCGCGCGCCCCCTCCTAGACAGTGGTAGTTAGGCAGGCGGTCACCAAGTGATTATTGTAAAAGAGTTATATATATTCCAATTCTTGATCATTTAATAACTGACCTAAAAAATCGTTTTAGTGAAAAAAAAATTATCAAATTTAACCTTAAATATATTAATACCTAATGCTCTTCAGGTTGTCCCACTTTTTAATTGAACATTTACGTTTAATAATAAATAAGTACGGGTAACTCGTCGTTAGCACAACTTCTGTGTGAGTGCAGCAATGCACTGTATTCCACCAGATAAGGATGTCTATCATGGGGATTTCGGAAACCATAGAAGATATGAAGATGGTCAAAATAGAGACAAGAAATATGCCATTTTATTCTGATGTTATTTGCTCCGTTATTTGAACAGATACAAAAAAAAACATTTTCTCATTACTTCTATTGAGTTTTACAAGACACTGTTGAGAGATTATCAATACAACGTTTAATTTCGGAGAAATCATTATCAACTTTATTTTTTTATATGGCCCGTGGAAAAAGTATATAGTATGTTGGATAGCATTTTGTACTACCAATAAAACGATGTACGGACACACAAAAGAAAACAAAAGTTTGAAACTGTTGGTTTCAACAAGATGGTGTACCCGCACACAAAGCTCTAATCGTGCAAGAATATACCTATTGGACAAATTTCGTGGAAAGTGGAAAAAATCGATTTGCAAATACAAAAAGAAAGCTCGACTTTGTCATTAGACATTTTCTGGTTTGTTCTTTTCTTAGTTTATTAAAAATTAGGTATTTGTTCAATATATTATGCCAAAAATGTTCTATTTTTATACGTACAATAAATTTTTAAAACAATAAATTCGCTTTAAAAATTGTATGCGCCCCTCCCTAGACAAAATCCTAAATCCGCCACTGGACGAGGTCAAATTAATATTTTAGAATTGCAGTCCCGTCAAGTAATTATTAAATGATTTTGGTTTTCTATGTTAATTTAAAACGAGAATTAAAGCTGCGAGGCCATGCCGGTATTAGTTTGACAAGAGACCTTTTCCCTGACCTGAGAAATTCCAAGAGACATAGGAGATTAATTAGAAATTTCATCTTGTACATTTAAGTGAGTATAATTAACTGTAACTGAGTAAATGAGTTGCAGTAAACAGCATCTGAGTAGGATGGTTTCATTAGAAGCGCGCTTAATTAATTGAGATTTTGGAATATGTCCCCGATTTTTATGATGAACAGAAACCGACAAATTAATTAAAGAAGTTTAAGTTTTAGACGTTCTTATCCAAATACACTGGACTGGTTAGGAAACCGAAACCGAAACGTACGATCTATTTGCCTTTTTCATTTTGCTAGTTACATTTGTAAGTGCAGTATTAATTTTGAATACTTTCCGTAAATTTATTTTGCATTCATACGGTTTAATTTTTGCTTTTACATTAAGTTTACCGCACCGTACTTACAACTTTTGCCTTTTTTCGCACAGTAACATTTCGGTTTAATTGCAAAGGTAAGCTTTTTGCTACTTTCTGTCCCATTAATTATAGAGGGGGGGGGGGGTCCCGCTTTCCTGCATTTGATTTCCCGTAGACATTGCTAATTAATTTGTTTTGTTGCTTTAATTCCTGCTAAGGAACTTACTATATAGGCTGTGCATTGTCATTTTGTTTTAGTTCTTCTGAAGTGGCCCCCCGCCATCTGCTGAACTCATAATTAAAATTTTAAAGGTAGCAATAGTAATAATAATAATAATAATAATAATACTTTATTATTATACCGATGCCTTTCGTCCTGGAGCTTCCAATAACGTTCCGGTACCGCCGACCATGAGCAGGGGCAAGGTTACATCCCTTGGTGGCGTTCGAGTTACCGTACCGTTCCGCCGACTTCTGCCGCTGCCGCCATTTAAGTTAAATTAAACACATATATTTATTTAATTGTGATTTTTGTTTAAATAAACTTTGTTCATCTCATTAATTCTCCGTTTTATTTTAAAGCAACCGATTGTGCGCGGATTTCCCATCAAAATAAAAACCTCAAAAAAACAAAGTAGGCTTAGACGTTTGCTCAGTTTTTCATTCAGAACAACTGAATAACATTTGAGGGTATCTCGTCTCCAAAGCACCTTACTGATATGTAAAAAAGATTTTTGATAATTTTAGGGCACCCTTGGTTTTCTTAAACCAAAATTGTGTCACAATGGGCTGATCCCCAGAAGCTCAAAGTTCAAAATTCTTTGTCTTTTATAAGAGACCACCCAAAAATCGAGTAAACAAGAGATAGTATACTTACCCAAGTCAGAGTCTGTATGTTCCTCGACAACATAATTAACTCCCAATTGTTTTAAATGCGGTATTAGTATACAAGGATCACAGCCTGTAGAATCGGGATCTATAGTGATAGCGCCGAGGTTGAACACGATGCCTTTGCTTTGTATATAAGACTGATATCGTAACAAGGTGTGCAACAAGCTTAACGAGTCCTTTCGGCCAGACAAACAAACCATAACCTTGTCTCCGTCCCTAATCATCTTATACTCTTCGATCGCCTCTATGGTGGGCTGCCATATATTTTGCGGAACAGCTAATCTACTTTCCTGTTCCGCAGATTTCTTAGCTGCTTCGTGACCGACGGAGTCTGGTTCTTGGAACGATAAGTTAATGCCGCTGTCCTGCGAGCTTACACTCGTCACGGTAGATGCGTGCAGTTTAGTTCTAACCTTGTCCGGCTCTTCGTAGCTGCCGTTACTAAATTTTGTAGATACCGCATCGGAGTTTTCGAGATTCTTTTGGCTGCCGCTCGAGTTTTGTCTATCGCTGTCGCCTACGCTCGACGCCCTGGAAAAGGTGTGACGCTCTTGACCTTCCGGAGTAATAAATACGTCGACCGCGCTAACTACGTCCCGAATCTCGGATTTAACCTCGTTCGCCATTTCTCTAGAGACCTTTTCTAAGTACTCGGCAACTTCGTTCGCCGATATCGAATCGCTACGCCCATCTTCGCTGCCGCTACCGTATCGTTCGTTGGCGTAATAAGTTTTGTTCCCCAATTCACTTTCTAAAACGTCCTCGACCTTGTTTATCACTTCGCGTATTTCGTACTTAATACTAGTAGCTAACTCTTTGGATATTTCACTAACGTAAGCACGTAAGTCGGCAGTTTGGGCGGGAGAGGCGCGACCCAGCAAGCTGCAGTCGTTAACGCTAGTCGCGTTTAGAACGTTCAAACTTTGGGCGGGCGATATATTTAGATCCGAATCTAAGGAGTGTACATCCGTTTGGCTGCTGCAGCTACAATTACGCCGTCGTATGCCCAAGCTGCTACTTGTCTGTGGACTTAACAGTGGAGATGCGGGCGGAAACGGGGCAGCTAACATCGAATCACCTAAACTCATACATCGCTCCCGGTGGTACATATTGGAAAGAGGATGAAATATGGTCGAACTGACGGACTCTCCGACGGCGAAATGTGGGGGATGTTCCATGGCTTGCGCAAATTGTTCGGGAACATAGTAAGGAAGTGGAGAGAGGGATCCGTTAATTCGCGAGTCGTCGATTGCCGATAGGCTATAGTGACGGGTTTGTAACCCCGATATTGGAGAGTACGACTGTTTCTCCTGGCGTTTAGAGCCCGAGTACTGCATGGGATCGAAAGGAAGATTATGCTTGACGTTTTGCGAGTTGGCAGTTAACAATTCTTGCGCCTCTTGCGGTAACATGAACCATCGCAGTTGCTCGCCTTTGATATCAAAATGGATGCCTTGATTAGGATATGGATTACGATTTGCAGTCTTACGGGCGCGATTAAATAAGTTACGCGCAGTTTGAAGGCAATCGGAGTAGTTTTGGGGAAATAAGCCTGGACCGGAAATGCGCCTTTCGTTCATTGTCATTTTACCATCGACGTATCGTATCGAACCCAACCACTTACGGTCTTTCGACATCGAATTCGAGTAATGGCGCCATTCGCCCGTCTCCAAATCCACGATGTATTGGGGAAGTAACTTCCACCCTTCTGTCGCCACCATTTTGATTGCCTCCATGATGAAGGCTAGTTCGGAGTCATTGATGAAATATGGAAGACTGATCCGTGTAAAACCGGGCCTTAAAAGTTGTAAAGTGGAATTGTGCATTGAAAGATGCAAATTACTAAAAAAAAAAAAGGTTAATTAAAAGCTAAATATGCGCCATCTATCTTACTAATCTTCCAAAATGATATTCTCGTACTGATCGGCCAAGTGTTGATCAATTCCCAGAAGATCTTGCGTGTACGAGCCAGAATTGGCACATCCCGCTCGAGCTTGTATTCCAAAAATATCATTTAAAACGGCACAGACGAAATTGTGGTGAAGAAAAGTGCCGCGCGGGTGTCGTACCATGAAGGAAAATATTGGCAAACGTTTTAGAGACTGTGATTTGTTGCCGAGCAGGAGGATTTCTGGTATGGTACGAATATGCTGCATCATTTGTCTATAAGACAATATAAATTGATTACAGAGAAAGTCAAGGGAAAGTAGTTTGGGGTTACCATGCTGCAAAGGTTTCGTCACCCCTTGTTCAGACCTGATTACCACATAGACAAAGTGAGCTCCTTCAGAAACCGATCACAGCAGCGATTTTTCAAAATGACAGGTTCCATCCACACCAGGTGCGCAGGGTAGCAAAATTTTCATGTGGGATTCCAATAGAAAAATTTTAAGAAAAGCAGCAAAAACGGGGGGAACCGTTTTAAGATATACCGTTTTTGACAGTAGGTAAATAGCTTTTTTTGCAAATAAATTAACGTATTGGATCCGCGCTAATAAAAAGTTTATAAAATCTGTCTTCTCTCTCCTCTTTAATGTTGCTAAAATATTTTCTTTTGTTTCCCAGTGTCCAACTGCCTTAATTTTAAACATCTTTATTATTTCTTTTTTCTGCATTTTTACCGCAATTCGAAGTAGTCGAATTCTTTTGGTTCCTGAACAATTTGTTTTTGTTCACTAACTCTTCTTTCTGCCTGTTTTACAGCTGATGGGATTAAGCTGGGCCTGTTGATCGTTAATTTACAGGAATTATGAATAAAATCCTCATAAAGTTTATTCCAGGTTTTACATCTCAAATTATTTCCTATGGCCGGTAAAACTAACGTTCTTATTGCAGATTTTGCAAGTTTATCAACAGGCCCAACGCAATTGATCAGCTATAAAACAGGCAGGAAGAAGAGCCAGTGAACAAAAACAAATTGTACAGGAATCAGGAAGCAAGATAATTCGATTTTATTTCGAATTGCTTTTATTGCGGTAAAAATGCAGAAAAAAGAAATAATAAAGATGTTTTAATTAAAACAGTTGAGCATAAGATAACAAATGAGAATATTTAAGCAAACATTAAAGAGAAGCAAGAAGACAGATTTCGAAAAAATCTTTATTAACATCCAACATGTTGATTTATCATGTCAAAAACCGTGTAGTAACTGTTTTTCCAGTTTTTGGCGATTTTGTCGAATTTTTGCTATATGAATAATATTTTTTTATTTTTGTTTATTAAAATATAAGTCTTCCCGAAAATTTTGCTACCCGGCGCACCTCTTTACGATGAAAAAAATACATTTTTCATCCCCTTGAAAAAGAGGTGGTTTTTTTCAGAAATCGTGAGATCTTGGAAACGGTTCAACTTTACGGCCCCAAAAAATTATCTTCTTTTTTATCACAAAACAAGCTCCAAATTTCAAACTCCTACGACTTTTTTTTTCGCAAAAATAAGAATAAAAACGAAAAAAACAGTTTTTCCGGTTTCTCTAGGAAAATTGGAGGTTATGTGAAAATAGTGCAGATACAAAAGTTGCTCATTTTTTTAATCTCTATAATTTTTATATTGAACATTTTCGTCTAAAATTAATAGTTTTGCCACAATTTGCAAAACACCACTTTCCACCCCTTTCAACCCGCGGAAAAATTCAGCTGTTTTAATTATTTTATCCCAATTTCTATTCATTTCACCTGCCTGGAAAACCTGGTTTCGACCGGTAACTATTTTTTTTTTGTAAAAATATATTATATAGCCTGGGCTAATACCCCTTATCTCTTTTTTTTCTTTTGTAATTTGTTGAGCTGGATTTATTTTGAAATGACTACATTAGTCATAGTTTGGTCATAGACAAATACCATTACCATTACCTAGAGACTTTCATTAATAATTTAAATCTGAAAATTTACATACCAACATGGTTTTTTTTGATCTATCAAAAGAAAATATTATCATGATTTTTTCACTTCTGCTTCTACCGGATGTCGAGAGCAACTTTCTTATTTTAAATAGAACACCCTATATTTTATCACATTTTCGAAATCTACACGAAAATCTACGTGATTTGATATCACATTTCCCTATACCCAGCATCAAAAGGTTTTCAAGTTACTCAAAATTTTTCAAAACTCAAAAATCGACAGTACTGACTTGATTCTACTACTTTTCTACTTGATCGCCCTTTTACAGGGTGTTTTAAAACTAATGGTCAACTTTATATTAATACATGTATCATACAAAGTGCTTTATTTGCACTTTCAAATGTCGAAAAAAATTCTACATCAATCTAGTATTAGAGGAAGGTGGCCTAATTTTGGATACTTTTTCTAAATTCAATTTTTGAACCGAAAAAAAATTTTTTTTAATTTTTTTGTACTCAGAAAGTGCTATTACTTTAATAAAAACACGTGATGCATACAAAACCATTTATTTTACCCTTAAAAGGTATAAAAAATAGGCCCAAATAAAAAATGACACTTTTTGAAATAAAAAAAAAAAGTATCCCAAAATTGGATACCCTATCCAATATTGGGAACCTATTTTTGTAAACAAAGATCGCACACGTAAGCTCTTTTGTCACTACCAGCACAGTCTTCATGTGACCACCTGAAACAAATGGAACACTGTATCCAGTTTTCTCTGTTTTGGTCCTCTGAATAACGTCCAGTGCAGAAAATATACTCTGCATCACTTTCTTGATTGGGATCCATATCTGAGTCGTCTTCATAAGGAACATCTTTTGATGAGTCTGAGGATTCAACTTCTTTAGTTTTTTATTTTTGAAAACCTTCTTTTGTAGTTTGGTTTGAATTTTTTAATTCCTATTTTTGGATATCCAATTTTAAGACACCTTGCCTATCCAAAATTGGGCAACCATCCTGTTCAATGTTTGGTGAGTAAAATAAAAAAAATCTTTGACAGGAATGTTCAATTCAGATGCTGGTTTTCATTTTAACAATATTCTAGTACATGCATGCCAAATTTCACTTAAATACTTTTAATTCTTACCTTTTTATAACGGATTTTAACAGATGAAACGAAAAACTCTGATTCACAAATAAACATGTGACTTTGTGGTACCACCTAGTGGTGCACAACTGAACTATACCGTTTACACAGGATTATTTTGTGTTGGAAAACTATAGTTTTGTCCACTTAATTATAGAGAACTGTCAGTAGGTTTCGAGATAATCCAGTATCCAAAATTAGGCAACTGTCCAATATTAGGCGACATTCCTCATACCTATCTGTTATGCTTTCCGTTTTATTTTAGATTTTCTAAAATTGTGACCCTTATCCATAATTTTCTTAGGAAGCTTTGAAATAAATGCGTTAGAAGACTTGTCAGACCTTTTTATAGTTATAGTTGATAGTGACGGTAGATGAATAAAAAGTTAAATAAAGAAGACGTAATAAACAGAAACAGGTAATAATAACAAACGACAAAATAAAAAAAAATCAACATCAATATTGAGGTTTTGTTCTACGTGGCCACCGTTTTTTTTCAATACATAATAGGATCCTCCGATTAATTCCTTTGGTCTCTCTAATGTCTACTACATCTACTTCATTAAAAGCTCTTCTCAGCCTAACTTCTAGTTCTTCACGAGAACCAACTGGTGTGAAGTAAATGTTTTCTTTATATGACCCCACACAAAAAAGGCTAACGCCACGGACCTCTGGCTCCTGTCTTCAAAAATGTTAGTTAAAGATATATAAGCATCATGAATGAGCCGACGCTCCGTCATGTTGAAACCATTGTTTCTACATGTAAAGTCTCAAATGCTGGTAAAATAACATCTACTAACGTATTTATTTCAAGGCCTCCTAAGAAGATTATCCATAAGGGTCACAATTTTAGAAAATCTATAATAAAACGGAAAGCATAACAGATAGGTATAGGGAATGTAATACAAGGTTGGCATATTAGAAAGCCCAATCGGACAACAAGATAGTTATAGGAACATGTACTGTGAAAATATGACTATTTCGATTCTTTATCTCATGCAATAGTAAGAAAATGGGCATTCCATTTAAAAAAACTGAGTTTTTAGTCTTTGAAGTTTCATAAATTTGGATCTCCATAGGGGCGGTCGTACCTTAACTTTTTTTTAAGTGCACTAAAAGAAAGCCCTATTCATTCTCTATGCACTGATAAAAATAGGTTGCCATGACTATAACCGTTTTCAAGTAATCAATTATCAAGGTATTTTTTTGGTTAAAGTCAAAATAACTTAAAATCCATAACTGGCAGATATCGACATGTGAGTATCAAAAGAACTAAAATTTCACATAGAATCCAAAAATGCAATAAAAAATAGGGGTTGCCATTTAAAATAACGAAGTTACTATCTACTACCGGTGTTTTAGGAAGTGTGGCCATTTTGAAAATATTTTACATCAATTCGGCCTTCAGAGTAACTCCTAAGTACAAATTTTCAAAAACCTACCTATTTTACTTTCCCAGAAACGTTTAACTAAAGCTCCAAAAAAAACACCCTGTAGAGGCGCCGTTATCTTAAAGACCGGCTTTATCGATTGTACTAGTTATTTCCAAAATTATGGCAAATTTCAAGTCAGTTTACGCAAAATCATTCTGTTGGTTAATACCTACAATTTGACATTGACCCTTTTTTAAAATGTGATTATAAAATCAAAACCTTAAAAAAATGATTCGCTGTTTTGCGGATAGTTCAACATTCACTCCATAGCCGCCTTAATTCCTGCATTGTATTATATTGGATTCAAATCGAAACTTCGAAACTAGAGGTGAGAAATATAATAATAATATAATATAAAAATATGTATTTGTCTAGATACAGTTATAGAAATTAATCATTTATCAATTATACGGTGTGTTCTTCAATTTCAAATTGTTTTTGAGCTTCTGGAGATCAGCCCTGCTAATTTGTGACAATTTTACTTTCGAAAAATCAAGGGTGCCTTTGAAATGTTCAAAAAACGTTTTTTGTGCTCTTTGAGGACGAAATACGCACACATGTTATTAAGGAAAGTTGTTCAGAATGAAAAACTGTGTAAACGTACATGATTTCAAAGTTTCAAAGTCCTGGGACAACTTATATTTTTTTTTATGTTTTTATTTTTTAACGATTTGTTGAGGAAATTCGAAAAACACTTCGATATTTTATTTAAAATATAGGTAGGTAAATTGTGCATTTCAATATCAACTTTCTGAAATTTGCTACATGGTCATTGCATTCTATTTTGAGCAGTTTTTTTCAGTAACATTTTTTCGAAAAAATAACACCATAAAAAATCAAAGTAGGGCTAGGACTTTTGCACGTTTACTCAGTAAACGAAAATTATGTCGCAAATTAGTTTCCAACCACGCAAGGCTAAGCCACAGAATCTCAAAATTAAATTTGAAATTTTTTTCTCTTCAATACTTCAATACTGAAAAAAACACTGTACAGTCAAAGGCTTTTGAATCTTCTAAATGATTTGAAGATTGATTCCAAAAATTCTTCAGATTTTGAATGTTAAGTTTCGAAGATTACAAAAATCTTTAGGTTTTCAAAAATTTGTAGTAATGAATGTACCAAAAGTTCTGACAATTGTTCCTAAGGATCTTATGATTTAAAAGACCTTCTGAGAATACTGAAGATCCCAAAGATTTTGTAGATCCTGAAGGTTGCAAGATTGTAGTTTGAAAATTTCTCGAATTTTGGACTCTTCTGAACGGTTAAAAAATTATGAACATTCGGATTGTTTTGTTGTATTAGAAGTCCATTTTAACACCTCAAATTCAATATAGTTGTTTACAATTCCTCTGGAAATTCCATACAATTCTGTACAGTGTGTCCCATTAATAACGGTCACAGGCCATATCTATGGATTCGAGAAAAAATTTTGTTAACAAAAGGGGCCAAGAGAAATCGCTGTAAATTGTTTTCAAGTTTCTAGCTTCGCCGCTGGAGGGCGTACGATTCATGATTAAGTAGCAAAATGTCTTTTTTTCTAAAATATACCCAGTAAACATGCATAAAAAATACATATAGCAATCTTGTATCAATTTTGCATCACTTTGATGCAGCACATATTGCTCTAGCTATAAAATATGAGGGGTAGAGGAAGGCGAACATCTCTTTAAGGAATTGAATGAAATTTCCGGTTAGGTTAACACATTTTCACATAATAGGTCTTGTTGGAAAGAGCTCTCTTCATGGAATCAGATTTTAGATGAATAGAATCTTTTTAGTAAATGTAATGAGTGGTAGAGGGCGCAATGTGACATTAACATAAACTTTGTAGGTTTTTTTGAAAATTTCAAATGGATCGATATAATTATTATATGATATCAAATAAGATGAAAAAGTGTGAATATCAGTAAAAACAGCATTTTGAAATCTGTTTTCTAAGCAGAGATATTGCAAAAATACGAACATTCACAAATTTTAATTGCAATATTGATGCTAATTCAAGTTGGCTTTGAAACAAAAGAAACACAATACCACATAAAAACTGTCAGTTTATCACAGTCTGTAGCATCCTTTCATTAAACGTATTCGTGTGAATTGTGCTACATAATACTGAAAATGTATAAAATTTCGTTGAAAAATAAACAACAACATGAACTGTGTATTGTAACATCAACTGATCAGCTGATAAGTACCCCAAGTCGACCCCACCGACTTTGAGATATTACTTTTTAACATTAATAAATGGACTAGACATTTTACTCTAATAGTAAATTATAACAATTAAAGAGACTTTGCAACCATGGTACCCCCAAGTAGGCTTAGACTAATAGTAGTACGTACTTGGTGATTTTGTCCTGTCGATGCATTATAATGTTAGAGGTCATGGTTTCTTTCAGCTGCATCACGAGTCCAGCTCGTATGGATTCGACGACTTGAGTCGCGTTTCTCTCCTCGTACATCTCGAAACACTACAATAATAACTATATAAACCTGTACGTATCACATTACAAAATCCTTACTATGTTACGGTTGTATGGATCGAAGAAGCCCGCGTTTAAATCATCCGGGTCTTTGAATAAGGACTTACGCATGATTAGCACACCTACAAAGGTATAAGCGGTTGTCAATCTCAAATTGAAAAAACTTACCGGGCGTTTGCACTCCACCAACAAACTTGTGCACGGAAAAGTAAATGGCATCCTTCCGAACGGAATTTTCTTTAACCCCGGTAACGAGAGGGTTAAGATCGATCGAAATACTCGGTGCGGCAAAATTATAGTCCCAAAACGAAAGAGCGCCGTACTGATGGAGAAGAAGCGTGGTCGCAACATCGTCCGCTATGATCCCGGTGATATTCGACGCGACGGGAAACAATCCGATTAACGGTCTTCCTGAACTGCACTGCAGTCGAAGTTGGTCCTCTAAATCGTGCAAGTCTAAAAAGCCTTCTTTGGTCTCGGCTATTTTTATGACCTGTAACAATAGGTAATTGCTATTATGAACGATTTCTTATCGACGTCTTTTATTTTTATGACGTGTTGCTCAAGGTTTAGTCATTAGGATCAGTATTCGCCTCAGTTGACTGTTCCAAGGTTTTCAAGGCAGCAAATTTTCTCAATGACGGGATGAAATTTGTAGGTGCAAAACATAAACCGTAATAACATGAATCATTAGTGCGCATTATTAACAATTAACAACTAACACGCGATATACATAAGGTAATGACGGACCTTTGTTAATGAATACGTATTATTGTTCACAATGCGTAAATATGAATTTAAATCAATTTGTTTGACATAATTTAATAATATATCTATGACTTTGTAAAAAAAAGGAGCTTCATTTAAAGAAAATTACAATTTAATATTTGTTAATTTTTTAAGTTTTTCTAAAACATGTTTTTTACTTCATTGTTACTGATGTCCTTGACAATAGAGCATTAAAGCGAACATTAAAGTTCACAGTAACTGAATTTTAACTATCACGAATAGATAGCTTCAATTAGATTCTTATTACAAACTGTTGTATAATCATGGGACACCCTGTATGTTTGATTTTAATTTTTGTTATTAACGTTAGATAGGATCATGAGTTGGGATTGAACGCCGCCAAGGGGATGATGTGATTTAATTTGGAAGTCAATATTGTTATGTATCAGAATTATTCGTTGTTAATTTTGATTAAATAATTTGCTTGTTAATTTTGTTTATTTAATTGTGAATTTGTAAAGAAATTACGATTCATAAGATTAGATAGTTATAACGGGCGATCAAAAATGAGTTGCTGTCGAATCGCCTTTGGAATTTTAAGTTAAGTACGATTTGCCGTGTAAACAAAAATTCCAACGGTAACTTGACAGCAACTCATTTTTGATCGCATGGTATTCGTCCTTTTTTCGGAAAGTGGCTAGTCAAAAATGGGTTTGACACGAAAATGTAATTTTGCCAAATTGTTTTACTTCTGTCTCTCAATTAGCCACTAAAACTTTGCGATTGTAATTTTCTTGAGATCACCTAAGGTCCTTAGATTAGTTTGTGTCCAATCAGGGCCACCTAGATGCAATATTAAAAGTGGCTCTAAAAATCAAGTAGGCGTAAAGGTCACATTCTGATTCAGAATAAATTGTTTCAGAAATCCAAAAATATACAGAGTGTTCCATTTCACAATTCCAAACCTGACCAATTCCGGTAAAACCAGAAGTGAGAGGAAAGAGAAAAATATGCGAAAACTCTCCTCTTCACGTAGGTACCATTTACCTGTACCAAATCTCATTTTGATACACCTAATAAATTATGGTCTAATTGATTCGTTTACATCCAGTACATGGAGCCCAGCAATTGCGGGATTATTGCAAAATCCAGATCATCAAGAATAATGGAAAAAAAGACCATTTTTTTGCGTCAAAATTAGAATAACCTGGTTTCGTTTCGTTTCGTTTTTATGGCACAATATTATGTACAGGGTGTCCTAGTAATAAAGATCACAGACAGGCCATATCTATGGAACCGTTAAATGCCCAGCTTGGAAAAAGAGATTTTGTTAACAAAAAAGACAAGAGAAATCGCTGGGAATTATTCTCAAGTTTATAGGTTTGCCGCTAGAGGGCGTACGATTCATGGTTAGTAGAAAAATGATTTTTTCCTAAACTTACTCAACAAACATGCATAAAAAAGACTCGCATCAGTTTGGATCATTTTTATACAACACATAATATAGCTCTAGCTCATAAAATATGAGGGATGGGGGAAGTAGAAAATCTCTTGTAACATTGGTTTACGTTAACCGATTTTCATATAAAATTTGTCTTCTTGGAAACAGCTCTCTCAGTGTAATCAGATTTTACACGAATAGTATTTTTAGTAAATGCGGTGAGTGGTAGAGTGCGCGGTTTGACATTAACATAAACTTTGCACGTTTTCTTGCAAACTGTGTGTATTTTCACCATATCTCTGCTTAGGAAACAGATATCAAGATATCAAGAAATGTTCCTCTTCCCCCACTCATCTCTATGTTTAGCGCAATATGTGCTGCATCGAAATGATGCATGTTTGTTGGGTATATTTTAGGAAAATTTGCAAATTTGCCCAAAAATGGCGGATGATTGCGGTACTTTCTATATCTAGTGACTTTAACTTAACCTAAAGTCACTAGATAATAGAAAGTACCGCAATCATCCGCCATTTTTGGGCAAATTTCCTGCCAACTTAAAAAAATTGACAAATAAAATCTGAATAGCTGTCATTTTTTATTACCTAACTTCATAGTACTGTCATGTTTTATAGGGTACGTTCCACTTAACGCCCGCAACGACCACGACGCTCGGCTGCCGTTCCACATAACGACCACAGTCGTTATGGTCGCAATCGCGACGTCAGATATGATGTCATTACTAGCGACCGCAACGAGCCCACGGCGCTCGCCTATCGTACCTGGGTCAGCGTGGGCGTTCTAATTTTATAACCTTACATTCTTGACAGGAGACATTTCTAGAGACATTTAACTGTCAGACACTGATTGTTTGAACACGCATGCGTTGCAAATTTTTCGTTTTCGCTATGGAGAAAATATAATTACGTGTTTCAGAACGTAACCTTGTGGTGGACATTACACTATATGGATGTTCTACATGCACAAACTGGTAAGTATATATGCTGATTCGTGAATGTTAGTTATTTGTTAAGGAAAATTCTGCTCTAACACAATTTTCTTTATTGTAGATCTTAGATTTGCAACTAGTTTGCTGCAAAGTGCTTTACCAGGGAATGCGAATGAGACTCATATAAATGGTAATGCAACGATTAATGAAAATGCATGTTAGTTTTGAATGAAGAAGAGAAATTGTTTTCGAAGCAGCATTCCCAGAAGAAATTCTGGGGAGAAGTTTCATTATCATCGTATTAAGTATGGCCGCAGCATTTATGATAGAAATTCAAAAGTCGTCTTCAATATTTTATTAACAAGAAGCAATATCTTGTGTAAAGCGAAGAAGTATGTGTCAATAATTGGTACTGAAAAATAAAAAAATATTTACTAACTTAATGTGACTTTTCATAATCCACCCCACTTTGTATCCTTTACGCATTACGATTTCCTCAACGGCGTCCATGTTGGAAAACTGTTCACTCACGCGTGACGTCACACCGCACTCAAAAGCGTTCCACTTAAGGGTTCGGCCACAACGCCTCTAAGCTAGCGGAACGATAAAACCGCGGTCGCGGTCGTGATCGTTGTGGGTGTTAAGTGGAACGTACCCATAAAAATATATACATATATCTCCAAACAGGTGGAACAATCCCTAACATTAAAGTTACTAGAATCTGGTAACTTCCGCCATTTTTGGGCAAAAATCATGCGTTCTCTCTCTAACACACGAGCCAATGGATTGCGGTACTTTCTATATTTAGTGACTAAGTTAACCATGAATCGTACGCCCTCAAACGGCAAACCTAGAAACTTGAAAATAATTTCCAGCAATTTCTCTTGGCTGCCTTTGTTAACAAAACCTTTTTCCTCAAGCTATGCAATTAAAAGCGTCAAGTTCTATTATTCTATCTGTCATAGCTCCTAAAGCCCGCTTGACATGGAGCAATAAAAATTGCAATTGCATGCAAGTTGCAAGAAAAATTGCGAAAGGCATGCGCAGTTCAAAGCCAGCTGATCAATTGCTGCAAGAGACTTGCATGCAATTTTTATAGGACCGGTGCTATTTTTCTTGCATGAATCGTGCAATTCTAGGGATAAATCTAGTTGTTTTTGTGGCACCAACCTAGTAAAATACAGCGGCGGCAACTGTGATGCTGAGAGACGCACTCATTACTTGTTTTTACTAATCTTATTTATTCTTGTAATTTTCATGTTTCTTCAAGCAATCAAAATTTAATTTTCATTTGAGGTTAACAACTTTGTTGACAAATCCATATGTTTCTTCTGTTGGCAGACATGTGGCAATTGAAATAGAATTGACCATGTCAAATACCATGCAATGCTTATTGCATGCAAGGATTTGACCTTGCAATTTCTTTCTGCAAGTTCTTGCGCGTAGTATTGCTCCATGTCAAGCGGCCTTAACAAAAAAATTAGAGACGAAATGCACATTTTGAGACTTTTGGGGGCGTTCGGTTTATTCGACAAAAAAATACTCCTCTTTACCACACGCCTTTTTTGACAGATTACACCGTCTATAGCAGGCGATATGGCGGTATCGATTGATTAATGTGCGAACGACGATAGCGCATTTTGCATACGTAGATTAGTATCCTGTATAGCTAGAGGAGATTACAAATGTCTATAATGGATGGACCTAAACCGATCAAATTTGGAGGGGCTGGAAATAGCCCGAAAGTCTCTGAAATGGTGTCCAAGGTCCTGGAGAGGAAAGCCGCTATAAAAATCGCGTAAGGAACTTTCCAGTGTTCTCGAATAAACCAAGGAGAAATTATAAAAATTGAACTAAGACTCTGTAAAGCAATAAAAAACAAAATTTATTTATTTATTGTATTTATTTTTAAGTGGGCGGAGTTTCAGCCAAGGCTGCTCTACCAACCCACTATGCATTTACAAATATCCATGCCCTAACCCAGATTCAAACCAGGGACCCTCAGTACCACAGTCGGGCTTTCACTCTATTGCGTCAAAGAAGCCAGCATGGCATAATAGTGTTTTCCACAGCATTCAAAGGCTTTCCAGTGTGATCAATGCTTCTGGAGCTGCATAAATCTTAAATGAATGTCGAAAATGACGTCTGGTGGTTTAGTGTACGAAATTTATCTGTGGTTTCCACTTGGCCTTATGCCACACATCATCTTATACTGTCCACGACTATACAAAATTATTCTTTCCCATAACATACACTGTGTTGAAAATAAGGATGTCTATCATGGGGATCTTGGAAACCATAGAAGATACGACAATGGTCAAATAAGAAAAAATATGCACAATTAAAGAGTTATTGTCATACATTTCAACATGATGGTGCAACCGCACACAATGTCCCGAATCGTCTGAGAATAAGTATCAACCAAATTTTTTTGAAAATGAAAAATTTATCCCATAGGTCTTCTCGCACCATTAGGATGTTATGCACGGGTGCACCATCTTGTTGCAACACGCAGTTACCACGTTTTGTTTTTGTTTGTGAGACGGGTACTGATTGTTGGCTTATAAAATGCGAAACTGAGACTGTTCATTTTGAATATTGCAATAATAAAGTAATAAAATTGTAACGAGCGATTAAAAAAATTCAGCGCTATAGTTGGCAATGGAAATTTAATTGTGAACACATCATGTAACTGACAATTCGCATTAGACATTTGTAATTTTTAATTTAATTCACAATTTATACACGATAAACACCATCGCCGCCAAATTTTTTGAATCACTCTTTATTTTTTGTTAAAATTGGACAAACAGATTTTGTAAAATCAAGATGGCAAGTGAGAAAATTCTGATCTCGACAAAATCTAATACTCTTTAAACACAAAACAACGTCCAACGATCAGATGTCCCAAACCCACCCTGAATATCTAATCAAATGCAGATAGATTTATAAGATGGTATCTCGGTTGTGGGGAACTAGTGGATCATCTTTGAGGCATTAGCCTTGTTTGTTGAATCGTGATATTTCTTCTTATCTAGTTGTCACATTTATATAACAGTACAACAGTTCAATGGCGAATAGTGACCCGCATAAGAAATTTTGACCTACCCACCTGGAAATAAAATTACTTACAGTAGCGCCGGCTTCTTGCCATAATTTCAAATGATCGTAATCCTCATTGTGGGCCGTAAATATAATGGGAGGTTCGATGAGATCCAGACTGTTGATCATTTTCTGTATAGCACCGACGCAGCCATTTTCGGTGAAAATCACAGCGTCCTCTTCGGAAGCGTTCACGGCATTCTTTATGATTTCGCGCGCTTCTTGTCTGCGTTATAAATATAGGTAATACTGCATTTAAGTGACAAGTAGATCTATACCTGAACAAACTTGTTTGGATTGTTGTAATGTTGGTGGTGGACCATGTATTTCCGAAACAAGGAAGGACCTCGCGCAGTATGTATTCTTCGATGAATTGCAGGGATCTTCCGGACGCGATGTAGTCGCAAAAAACAACTGAAATAAGAATGAAACGCAATTATAGTGCAATAAATTACTTCGCGCTCTTATCTGTGCAGATTAGAATTTTTTTGGGGTGGTAGTCAACACAAAATTCATTTACTACTAATTAATGTTTATATCATTGCTTAGTAAATCTCAAAGTACGATGTAAGTTTCCACTACTTTTTCCGCTTTTGATAAACACTTTTCCCATTACGAAATCTAATGTTTTAGATATATGTCAACACATAAACTGCAGAATAAATGTTTCCCTGTTGTTGATCACCGTTAATCCAGATTTAAAATGTTCATAGCTGACTTGGCACCGAGCCTGCCAATAAATCAAGTTAACTTTTGCATTTAGTTTTTCAGTCAGAAAATAACCGGCCTAAAGTAGGTACTTTTCCATCTTATTTTAAACTAACTTACATACCTACTAGGTACCTATAGGCTTTACCTTGAAGTGAGGAACCAAAAAAAACGTGTCAAAGATAAAACACAGATTATTATTTACAGAAGATTAGAAGGTTTCATTAAAAGCTATTGATAAGTTCATATCACGCCTATCCAGATCAAAGAACCTCTCTGTTGTGATCCGAACATTATAATGTTAAAATTCCAAAGTTTCTATTTTTTTGCAAAAAATGTCTATAGTATAAATAGAAAAATTCATTCCTATATAAATAGGGTTCCTAAAAATAATTCCAAAAAGATTTCGATTTCACTTTTTTGAAAGGATTTCTATTAAGATTTCCGAGGTTTTCAAAGAGATTTATGTGAGAAGTTGACAGATACTATTTTCAAGAGTTTCTTCTCTGAGCGACATTTTCAGTCTTCTACTGTTCCCACAATGATATTAAAGGATTGAAAAAAAAATGTTTCTTCTCTAGAAAATCTGCTGAAAGGTTTCCAAACAATATAATGAAGTGAAACAATGGAATTTCCATTGTTTCACTTCATCTGTCACTATGTAGAAGAAGAGTATGGTGATATGTGTAACAGGTGAATTTGATGACGCTAGTGTGGTGACAGTTGTAACTTGATTCCTTCTATTTTATTGCTTATAGTGGATAGGGTGCTCACGTTTGCAATAAGAGCATGCGGACGTGTTTGTATTGTCCTGAACGGAAGAGGATACTGGCATTCCTTCTATTAATAAAAATCTTCATTTTAAGAACTACATTAATTCTTGAAAATCCTGGAACTCATGAGCATTCTGCAGTGAATGTTCATAAAGCTGGGGACCCAATCTCATTTTGTTACTGTATGGCTGATGGCTGGATTCCCATGTATTTGTGTCGATGCCTAAAGTACCTATGGCTTCAAGACATTCCAGGACCACATCGTGGAGTTGTTTAATTTTAGAAGCAGATTCTGAATGAAGTCCGCAATCTTGTCATCAGCTTGGTTGCGGTTAACCGCTTCTTTTGATAGCGTTTCTGGAAGAGCTTTTAGAGTGGTGGTTTCCGCAATGGTCGAGGGAACACTGCCGCTAACTGCGTGGTGAAAATTCCCACAGCCGCAACCGCGCTTGCCTAAGGGACAGATCCAAACCGCCGATACTCGTTCCGGTATGCGCTACGCGGCGGCAACAGAGGATGCGGCTCCGGAAGTCAGGCAGCGAACCCGAACTTCCAGATCAATGGCAAGTATCCCGTCGATTTTGGGAGTCCTCTTCAAATTCTACATGGAGAAAGCCATACTCGGTCAAGCAATCATCAATCTGCTACACAAACGCGCGCGATCCCTTCACACGGCGAGATTCAGAAGTGCCACCACACAGTTTTTTTAAAAAATGGCGGCCAACGAGTTTGGAAAAATCGTGCAGGCTGCCTGGCCTACCAGAAGCCACGAAGTCGCTTCGAGAGGGCAGAGACGATTACCGCCTTCCGTGTTGAATCTGAGACCTGTTACGGGAGAAGAACCGATCCAGAGCGCGCTTCCAGCGTTCGTGTGCTCCGTTAGACAGAGCCGAGTTCCGAAGACTTCAAGAAGAGGTCAAGACCGCCATCCGAGACTTCAGAAACGAGTCCTGGGAAATCGCCTGCTCCCTCTGGAAGATGACAAGGCCGCTGCGCCGCTTACTACCTAGATCATTCCCGCTACACGGCCTCGGGGGACGGACGCCGAGATGGCCGACGCCTTTGCGGAGTGCCTGGAACGTTAACTATATGAAAACGCGGATCTGGATTTTATCGGAAGCCATCAACCGAAGAGCCGGGAGATCCCTGCGTTAAGACAACGAAAAAGCTGCCGAAGATGAAGTTTCCGACGCCATAAAGAATACCAACACCAAAAAAATGCCAGGACCGGACGGCATCAGAAACAGGGCGCCAAAGGAGCTGCCTCGGCATGCGCCCGATCTGCCCGTTGTCGACGATCGTCAAAGTAGCGGAAGCGGTGATCCTAAGGAGGCTGCAGTACCAAACAGAGGAGAGATGCATCATTCAAGATGAGCAATTCGGATTCCGGAGGTCACTCGACGGTCCACCAAGTGCTAAGGGCGGTAGAAAACGCGAGAGAAGGCTTGCGGTTCGGTCTTTCTGAACGTCTTTAAGCCGTTCGACGAAGTCTGGTACAACGGGCTGCTATGGAAAATGCTGGAACCGGTTTCCCGTCCCGTTAACCACGGCCCAATTTCGAGCATTCTGCCGGCTACTCGCCGCATTAGGGTTTCCTGCAATTTTCGAAATTTGTAAGGCAAATACCCGAGTAGTATAGAATAACTTAAGACCTTCTGCAGGGGCACCTGTAAAAAGCATTATATGTAACTCTTACTCAGACGATCAATGTTGGTGATATCCTGGCCAGAAGACATGGCTACGATTAGATCCGCCTCTCCTTCCAGTATTCATAGGTTCATCTCACGTATATGATGGCTTGAGTGACGTAGAGGGATCGGACGATTCAGGGAGGTGGTACAAAAGGCTCGAATTTGAGTACGCGTGGATCCTCTCCATTCTCCTATCGTAACACCCAACCTGTCCCATTCCAACTCCCCCATCCACTTCAAAATGTCCTCTGTCATCGTTTTGTAAACCACCGATGCTCCATCTTCGATTGTTAGCGCATTTTTTAAGAATGAAAGGAAATGTGCGTTTTGTCCGTCCATCCTCTGTCATCGTTTTGTAAATCCACCGATGCTCCATCTTCGATTGTTAGCGCATTTTTTAAGAATGAAAGGAAATGTGCGTTTTGTCCGTCCATCAGTCTGTCTGTTCGTCCGGACCCACTTCTGCGGTTTTAACCTACGTTTAGGGGAATTATCCTAGAGTATCATGATCGATTATTATATATTTCAAGAGCGGATTGTCGAAGGAGGGTACTCACAAAAAGAAAATGAATCGTCTGGACAAGACATATCTATATTGGTGAAATCGAAGTGAATATCTTGAAGTCGAAATACCTATCGGAAGAGGGTATTCTTAAAGGCCAAGTAGAACGTTTGTACGAGACACATCAACTGATGGTGTCAAAACTTTCAGTGAAAATATCTGCAGAACGGAGTGTCAGAGGAAAGGGAGGGGGAGTTCTAGACGAGACATATGTACTGGCGATGCGAAAACTTGATTGTGAATATCTGGAAAAGTTGGAGGAGGGCATGATTCTTCTTGCATTATATAGCGTAATTTTTAGCAATTTTTTTATTTAAAAAAATGTGCTATTGTTTGCGTTTTGTCCGTCTGTCCGTCCGGACCCACTTCTGCCGTTGTGAACTACTTCTAGGGGAATGCCCGGACCCACCTTCTGCCGTTGTGAACTACTTCTAGGGGAATGGTCCTACAGTCTTGGAATTTTTTGCAGTAGGTAGCCTATACCTTGAAGGTGTGCCATTAAATTTCGCTGTCTAAAAGCCCCCCCCCCTCCCCACGGATTATTTCCTGAGATGCTGTTTTTGAAAGAAAAACGTGCATAATTTTTATATACGACAACCAATTGGTCTCAGATTTTGCCTTTAGTGGTGCCAAGTTAAACTTTAGAAAATGGAGGGGGGGGGCACACATGTTCTACCTTTCATGGTATTCTAATGAAAGGCCTCATCGAAATAAATTAGTTTGTACAAACTATAACTTTCCCGTGCGACTCTTTTTCGAGATCAGTGAGCGACGGAGGCCTTAGAGGGGGGGCTTTCTACCAACTACTGCGCTTCTTTCTGTCCTCTTATCAAAGTACGGGGTGGAAGGGGAGGGGGTGGAAAGAGGGGGGAGGGGGGGGGGGGTTGAAACTAGTTTTATCCTTTATGATACTCTAATCATTAGAGTCTAATGAAAGGTCTCAACGAAAGGAATTAATTTCTACCAAACATAGCCCTCCTCCTAGACCTCTTATCGTTATCGGGTATATTCCCGTATACATCAAGAACGGATTGTCGGAAGAGGGTGCTCACAAAGGGCGATTGAGACGTTTGCAAGAAATATATCCATTGGTGATGTCAAAACAAAAGCTATTTCGGTTTTAAAAAATGAGAGGAGGCCTTTGTGAATATCGACCTTCTCCATAGCACCAAACAAATGCAGTACCTAAATCTAGGAAATAATCTTTATTGAAAAAGTGCTCCTTCATCGTCAAAATAGGAAAAAACCGAAAAAGGTGCAAAACTTCAGGATTTTGCGATATTCTAAAGTGTTTCGAGATGCCTGCTGAGGTCGAAAACGTGGATTTTGCACCTCAGTCACATTCCATACAAGAAAAAAAGAAGATCTACTAATACACTCGACATAACTTTTTCATGACGAGGTTCTACTGGGCTATATTTATTCAAATTGTGCAGCTATCCCAGTAGGGCTGGCATCAGTTGTTATAATTACTTTGTTTTCGCAAAATGCTTTGTAAAATCCTGTCCAACGGTGTTTCTCTGTCTCTAGGTGATGACGTAGGGAAACTACTTACGCCAGGTTGAAAACTACTTTTCTGGTAACCTACCTACGCTTTCTAAGGAACCTAGTGCGCAACGTGAAAGTTTAATGATATCATACCGCCAACTACTTTGACCTTTCATATGATTTTTTGTGGAG